GGTGCAGGGAGGGGCCTCGGTGCGGTGACGATATCCCAGGGGCGTGGGCAGCACGCGGCTCTTCTTTGTGACGTCATTCATTAAGAGGCCGCCGTGGTCGTCACGTGCTCACCACGTGCGCAACCGCGGCTCTTGAAACATTGCGGTGGTTTTCGTTTACTGTTGTTGTTGTTTTGTACCGAATTCTCAACAACAACAACAACAAAAAGTCGCCTCTCCCTGGTTATTTCGGTTGCCCCGAACAACCCCCCCCCACCCCGTCCCCCCTTTGCGCGTCTCTCCGCCAAGGACTGCGGCAAATCGTCAAGGAGCCCCCCACCCACTCAAGGGTGGGGGGGGGGGGCCCACGGGGACTCGGCGAGCCTCTCCTCGGGGGTAAACAAGCGTGAGAGAGATGTGAGAGGGCGTGAGAGAGAGCGTGAGAGAGAGCGTGAGAGAGAGAGATGTGAGAGAGATGTGAGAGAGACGTGAGAGAGAGAGAGACGTGAGAGAGCGTGAGAGCGAGATGGAGACGTGAGAGAGAGCGTGAGAGAGAGTGAGAGAGAGTGAGAGAGACGTGAGAGAGAGCGTGAGAGAGAGACGTGAGAGAGAGACGTGAGAGAGTGCGTGAGAGAGAGTGAGAGAGAGTGAGAGAGACGTGAGAGTGAAATGAGAGAGACGTGAGAGAGACGTGAGAGGGACGTGAGAGAGACGTGAGAGTGAAATGAGAGAGACGTGAGAGAAACGTGAGAGAGCCGTGAGAGAGACGTGAGAGAGACGTGAGAGTGAAATGAGAGAGCGTGAAAGAGACGTGAGAGAGAGACGTGAGAGAGACGTGAGAGAGATGTGAGAGAGCGTGAGAGAGATGAGAGAGACGTGAGAGAGATGAGAGAGCCGTGAGAGAGTGAGAGAGTGAGAGCGTGAGAGAGACGTGAGAGAGTGAGAGAGAGACGTGAGAGAGTGAGAGAGTGAGAGCGTGAGAGAGACGTGAGAGAGTGAGAGAGAGACGTGAGAGAGAGAGAGAGAGAGACGTGAGAGAGTGAGAGAGTGAGAGCGTGAGAGAGACGTGAGAGAGTGAGAGAGAGACGTGAGAGAGACGTGAGAGAGAGAGAGAGACGTGAGAGTGTGAGAGACGTGAGAGAGAGACGTGAGAGAGAGACGTGAGAGTGTGAGAGACGTGAGAGAGAGACGTGAGAGAGAGACGTGAGAGTGATATGAGAGGGACGTGAGAGTGATATGAGAGAGAGCGTGAGAGAGAGGCGTGAGAGAGACGTGAGGGAGACGATAGAGATGTGAGAGAGATGTGAGAGAGACGTGAGAGAGACGTGAGAGTGATATGAGAGAGTGAGAGAGAGACGTGAGAGAGTGATATGAGAGCGACGTGAGAGTGATGTGAGAGAGAGCGTGAGAGAGAGAGAGAGACGTGAGAGGCTTGCTGGAGGAGGGATTGAGTACCGGGGGGCTGTGGCGTGGGGGGGGGGGGGCTAGGGCATAGAACCAGCGGGGCGCGATGCCCGTGACGCCACACGGGGGGGGGGGGGGGGGCAGAGTTCGCTCGTTGTGACGTCAGTGGCATTTTTGGGATTCGAGTCCCACGGGAAGGCGCCCGGATTCGGAACAATTTTGTGGGACACGCGGAGGAGGCTGAGATCTGGGGAGACCGCGATGCGTGTGTGTACGTGTGTATGTGTGCGTGTGTATGTGTGCGTGTGTATGTGTGCGTGTGTATGTGTGTGTACGTGTGTGTGTGTACGTGAGTGTGTGTGTGTACGTGTGTATGTGTGCGTGTGTATGTGTGCGTGTGTATGTGTGCGTGTGTATGTGTGTGTGTGTACGTGAGTGTGTGTGTGTACGTGTGTATGTATGTGTGTGTGTACGCGTGTGTGTACGTGAGTGTGTGTGTACTTGTGTATGTGTGTGTGTATACGTGTGTGTGTGTCTGCGCTACGAACCCGGCGACCCGAGTTCGATTCCCGTTCACGGCCAACACCACAGTGACGATTATCTGAACCGGTGCTGGGCCTCCCCTAGGTCGACTCAGCCTCAAATAAGTACCTGGTGCGGTGCGTACACATCGCCACTGGGGAGACAAAGGCGGCCGGGCGTGGTGTTGGCCACCCACCCCCTCGTGCGCCGTGCCGGCCTTCATAGGCGCTCGCTAACAGCACTTGCCCCAACAGTCTGTTACAGGCTACACGGTTGGATATTTGGCTTTATCTCTGCCTGTGTGTTGGGGTCGTATTAGTCGGCGATGTGATGTGAAACGATGAATGTTCCTCGTGAGACGTGACTCAGCTGCAGTCGTCCCACTGGATATTCCAGTCTGATGATGACGATGGTGGTGATGATGGTGGTGATATCACGTTGAGCGCTCGTAATTACAGCGGTCCCTTTCGTCTGGCTCTCCGAGCCGCTCCCGTCGACGGTGACATCTGAGAATCCTCCAGGAGGAGCCCCCCCTGACAGGCTCCGTGAGCCTCGGGCACTTCACCACTTTTGCCCCAACTTATTTCGTAGGCGACGTCGTCCGCGCGTGCGCCGAACCGAATTCGCGCCCTGCGGATGCGAGCTCAGAGCTTGCATCGCGCAAAGCCAACCAGCTCCTGTCCACACCTAATCGCGGCGCATGGCTCACTGTGCGTCGAACTTCTTTCGCGCCGTACGTAGCGAACCGTCCTCGTCGGAGGTGCAGCGAGAATGTGCAAGAAACCCGAGCGAACTTTCACGCTCGACGCCGAGAATGAGAGAGGCGCCGTCGTTTTGCGCCATGAACACGGCGAGGCTTTCATCATCCGGCAGTGACGGTGGTGGGTCAGACTCGAGTTCGGGGTTTAGTTTATTTTTGGTGTTGGGGGAGATGGCGGGGGGTGGGGTGGTAAGTAACAAATTGTAAAAGCGATGAGTTAGTCTGAGCTGTTTCCGCGAAAGCTGCAACAAGACTCATCCCCCTGCGAGGGAGCGAGCGAGCGAATGAGTCACCCTGCTGGAACGTTCTCTGCCTCTGCGGGGCCACGTGGGCCGCGAGCCGGCGCCTCTGACCGACCGAATTCACGGCCCCCGACGGTCGAATCCCGCGCGCAGCCGTTCGCAGAAAGTCCGGCCGGGCGCAGCGTGGTGGGTGTGAGTGTGTGTGAGTGTGTGTGTGAGTGCACGTGTGTGTGTGTGCGCGTGTGTGTGTGCGCGTGTGTGTGTGCGCGTGTGTATGCGTGTGTGTGTGTGCGCGTGTGTGTGCGCGTGTGTGCGCGTGTGTGTGTGTGCGTGTGTGTGTGCGCGTGTGTGTGCGCGCGTGTGTGCGTGTGTGTGCGCGTGTGTGTGTGTGCGTGTGTGTGTGTGTGCGTGTGTGTGTGTGCGCGTGTGTGTGTGTGCGCGTGTGTATGCGTGTGTGTGTGTGCGCGTGTGTGTGCGCGTGTGGGTGTGTGTGTGTGTGCGCGTGTGTGTGCGCGCGTGTGTGTGCGTGTGTGTGTGTGTGTGCGTGTGTGTGTGTGCGCGCGTAGCCGCGGTGGCCCGGCGCTTTGTTGGGAGGCAACCGGCGGGGCGTTGCGTGGGGACAGAGGGTTGGTGGATCACGCAGAGATCTGCGAAAATTCCCCCAAAACTCAAGCAAACTGCCTCTCGAGGTTGCGCGCCGTGGTGCTGGTGGTGGCCAGTGGTAGAGCGTGAACTAATTTATTGAATCCATCCGTGCGGTGTTTTATTGATGCGTGTTGTCCCCCCCCCCCCCCCCGGCATGAGTTTGTGGGGTTTTCTCCGGACTCTTCCCAAATGGGTGCATTGGGATCTGCGGATGAAATTCGCTTTTACAATTGTAAATGTTTTCCATTATTGAACTCTCATCGATCGGAATGGCCAGAAATCCCAACGGAGTAGGAACTTTCATGCAGAAATGGAAAAAAAAACTCTAGCCAGGTTTTTGCTGGGTCAAAATAAGTCGCGTCGATTAAATTGATCACTGACACAAAATAATCGTTAACGATTGCTATAAATGGAATTATAATTATCATATGTCGTCAGAGACAAGCACACGCGTTGAACATGCTGTGATGTGTGTATGTATGTACCTAGCCTGGCACAGGCGCTGTGGAAACCTCACTGGTGGTGGTGGTTGTTGTGTTGGTGTCACAGGCAGTACCATCAATAGAGCAGTGTCAGTCAGTGGAGCATCTGTCATCGTTTGTATCCACGTGTCAGCGAGTATTTACGAATGTACTTGTGTCAATTTGCATCTCTGCTTTGAAGAAGGTCGGTTTCCCAAAACGTCGCCTATTTTAGGTTTTTAAAAAAAAAATTGCCTTCAAAGGCCCATGCAGCGTTAATGACGAATGTGTTGATTTTTTTCTGTTATTTGTGCTCGGGCACGACTCACCGCCACCACAGCGTGCCAAATGTTTGGTCCTTAATAGGTGCTCGCTAACAGCCGTTGTCCCCGCCACGGGCTTGCCACGGCCACACGCGGCATCTCTCTCCTCTCTCTCTCTCTCGTCTTCTGCGAGCCATACGACCGGTGGATAGCTTTGCTTTGGGAATAGGTTTTACCCTTTTAACTGGCACAAAAACTGACACCTTTATTCAAGGCATCATGTTTGCAATAACCACAACACAAGCAGTCAAAATGCAAACAAAAAAGACAACTCTGAATAAAAGTGTCAGTTTTTGTGCCAGTTAAAAGGGTAAAACCTATTCCTACATCTTGTTACTGGCAAAGGAGGTCTCATAATGTAAAGGCTTTGCTTTGCTCACGTGTCCGTGAAACAGCTGCGACCCATCGGCCAAACGCAAGCCTCCACCGGAGCCGAACTCTTTAATTTGAATGCCTCTGCTTGGCTCGTCTCGCGTATAAACAACGCACGCCTGCTGTCAAAATATTTCTCTTTTAAGGGGGGGGAGGAATTAATTAAGGGCCCAGGGACACACACAACACAATATCCTGATCTCCGGTCGGCATCATCGCCACCCCCCCTCCCCGCCACACGCACACGCGCGCAACTCTCACAGGGGAGGTCCTGACAGGTGTTTCATTGCAGTTGTTTACAGCAAGACACGGAGGGATGATGCTCCCTGCGTGTGTGCTGGCCATCTCGTGTGCCTCGCCGCACTGGGGCGCACAACAAGTTTGTTAAGGCGCGTCTGCCTGTGCGTCCACATTTTGACGCCGACGCCTCTGGGACGGATGTGAACTGGTAAGCCTTGAAGATTGGAACAAACCTTGAGCAGGTGTCAATGCGTGAGCGTCGAGCGTTCTCGCGGACGTTCGGTCGGTCTTTATAAATTCACCAAAAGTATTTTAACATTTTTTTTCTTTGCAAATGGGTCGTAAATTGTGCAACCAATGTTCGCGAGTCACGGTTTTAATTTGCATCTCCTTCCACACATCTCTCGAGTTCAACCTTTGATTTCGAGAAGGGCGCCGCGGTGGCTAGGAGATGTTAACTACCTCGCCTGGTATGCAAGAGGTCGTGGGTTCGATACCGACCCTGGCGCCTGCTGCTGCTGTGTATTTGGAGTTTGCTGTGTGTCTCTCTCTCATCATCATCACGGTGGCTAGGAGATGTTAACTACCTCGCCTGGTATACAGGAAGTCGTGGGTTCGATCCCGACCCTGACGCCTGCTGCTGTATATTTGGAGTTTGCGTCTCTCTCTCTCCCATTGTGGTCACGTGTATTTTTCTCCGGATCCTCCGGTTTTCCCCTCCACATTTAGAATAAACATCACCACGCGTTCAGAGTATTTGTCTGCTGTACATTTCCACGTGATAAGCCACGTCGTTGAGCTATCATTTGTGGCCAGGTCGTTTATTAAAAAAAGAGCTATATAGCTCAGTGTGGGCCTTACCTGGTAAAATAATAAAATAGTTTTAGTTTCGTTTGTGTGTGGTCGTATCGTGATGTTTTATGTTCGCTTGTGTCAACGGATGTAAAGAAATGTTTGGAAGACACATCAATTGTGTTGAATGTTTAATCCATCTTGTTAAGATTAACTTGCAATCAAATTATCTGCACTGCATATTCTTGCATATTTTATTGTTGCAATGGTTTAATATAACAAAACAAAAAACTTTTAAGTTTATTTGAACTATTGTAATTAACATATAAAGCAATCATGTGTGATCATATTAATAATAAACTCACATGTAGAGCTTAATCCTCTGCTGGATAACGGCCTCCCCACGCCATGTCCAGTCATGTTTGACCATACTTCACCACGCTGGTCAGTGCTGGTTGGTGAAGGCAGGGGGTGGGGGGGGTGGGGAAAGGCCTGGGCCAGGAGACGGTTCAGATGCCAGTCGCCACTGACGTTAGCCGTGGCATCTCATGGCTAGGTACGGTGCGAAGGAAGTTCAACAGTCATCATCATTCACTTCCAACTCCGCCTGTTCGCTACAATGCCGGTGCTCATCCATGGGTCACATGAGCGTTGCGTGATCGCCCTCTGGTGGACAAATTCGGTATTGCACGGCGGTTGGGGGGGGGGAGTGGCTTTATAATTATTAATCAATGTCCCTGCGATGCAGACTAATACACTTGGATTTGTATACACGGAGAGAAATAACGCGGTTAACGAAACCTCTTAAGTGTCGTAATGGAACGCATCAACTTCGTTAACCGAGGTATTACTGTGCATATATATTTTTTTAACTCATTTAGATTCGACAATTACACAGTGGCCTTAAATATTATAGGCGGCGTTTCATTTTGTATTGTTTCTCATTTATGTTCAGGCTCATTTGTATTGAGTTTTTTTCTGATTGGAGATGTTCACTCCCTCGCCTGCTATACGGGAGGTTGTGGGTTCGGTCCCGACCCTGACGCCTGCTGCTGTATATTTGGAGTTTGCGTGTCTCTCTCTCATCATCACGGTGGCTAGGAGATGTTCACTCCCTCGCCTGCTATACGGGAGGTCGTGGGTTCGATCCCGACCCTGACGCTTGCTGCTGCTGCTGTATATTTGGAGTTTGCGTGTCTCTCTCTCATCATCATCACGGTGGCTAGGAGATGTTAACTACCTCGCCTGCTATACAGGAGGTTGTGGGTTCGATCCCGACCCTGACGCCTGCTGCTGCTGTATATTTGGAGTTTGCGTGTCTCTCTCCCCGCGGTCGCGTGGAATTTTCTCCGGGTCCTCCGGTTTTTCCCTCCACATTTACAATCGACATCGCCACGCGTTCAGAGTGTTTAGGCTGCTATGATGTCCACGTGATAGTCCACTGCGTTGAGCTATCACGTGTGGCCAGGTCGCTTCTGAAAAAATATCCACATAGCTCAATGGGGCCTTACCTGGTAAAAAAAAAAACATATATCGTTTCAATAAAAAAACAACTCAGTTGAGTTTAGATCAGCCACACACGCTCAATTCATAGGAATCTATGACTGTGTCTCTTCCCCGATGACCACGATGACGGTGGTGGTGGTGCTGCTGCTGCGCGTGTCTTGGCCTTCGTCTCCCTACAGGCAGAGGGGGCGTCTCGATGGCCATGGCGGTCACATGGGCACCACTCCTCATCTTCGGTCTCATCATCAAGGCAGCCCACGGTGAACACACGGGTGAGCTGTCGCGGGGATTGAGTGGGGGTGGTGTTCATTTGGGTGAGCGTGTGGGTGAGTGGGTGGGTGAGCGTTTGAGTGAGTGGCTGGGCGAGGAAATGTGTGAGTGCGTGGGCGAAATGGGAGAGTGAGCATGCGGGTGAGTGGGTGGGTGGTTGGGTGAGTGAGCGGGTGAGCGTGCGGGTGAGCGTGGGTGTGTGAGCGTGTGGGTGGAGACATCAACAGCGAGTGAAGCTCACGGGGGATTACGACGATGGTAGTAGCGATAGAAGAGTGACACGGACACGGCGACGACCACGACGATTTAAATCGTAAAACTACCAAGCGTCTCGTTTTGCCCCACTTTCAATGAAGTGTTCGGCAAAGGACCCCTTGAGGCTTTTCATCCTCCATGTACCATCCTCCGTGTTTGTTCTAACATCTCCCGCCCGGCCGCCTAATCCAGGGGTCGGCAATGGAAGTAACAAGACGGGAGATTTTTATGTTGGAATTCGGTGGGAAAAAAAAAAAAACACCCCTCAATGTTCCAAGAGCCCCAATGCCACTGTGGTGGTGGGGTCCTTGATAGATAAATAAATAAATAACTCTCTCAGGCCTCGAAGAGACGCAGGTTGGCGACCCACGGTCTCATCCAACCTCCCCCCCACTACCCCTCCCCCCACTACCCCTCCCCCCACTACCCCTCCCCCCACTACCCCTCCCCTCCACCTCCTCCCCCCCACTACCCCTCCCCCCCCTCTACCCCTCCCCCCCACTACCCCCCCCACTACCCCCCCCACTACCCCTCCCCCCACTACCCCTCCCCCCCACTACCCCTCCCCCCACTACCCCTCCCACCACTACCCCTCCCCCCACTACCCCTCCCCCCACTACCCCTCCCCTCCACTACCCCTCCCCTCCACTACCCCTCCCCCCCACTACCCCTCCCCCCACTACCCCTCCCCCCCCACTACCCCCCCCCACTACCCCTCCCCCCACTACCCCTCCCCCCACTACCCCTCCCCCCCCACTACCCCTCCCCCCAATACCCCTCTCCCCCACTACTCCTCCCATCCATACCCCTCACCTCCTCCCCCCCTCTACCCCTCCCCCTCACCTCCTCCCCCCCACTACCCCTCCCCCCCTCTACCACCCCCCTCCCCCCCCCCCCACAGTGTTCGGCATGGGGGAGCCCCCCGCGCTGGCTCCCTACCCGGAGCTGCACCACGCCGAGTCACACGCCGTGCTGCTGCCGGGCGAGCGCTTCGAGCTGCGCTGCTCCGGCGAGACGCGCCTCACGTGGCGCCACCCGGCGGCGGCCCACGTGGCCGTGGTCGACACGCTCGGCGGCGGCAGCGAGGGCGGCGAGGGCGGCGCGGCCTCCTCCTCCTCCTCCTCGTCGTCGTCGACGGCGCACGTGAGCACGCTGGTGATCGAGAGCGCGTCCATCGAGCACGCGGGGATCTACGTGTGCGTGTTCAGCGACGAGGGCGACTACGGCGAGGAGGGCGGCGACGACGCGGGCGAGGGGGACGAGGAGGACTACGGCCACGGCAAGGAGGAGGACGAGCTCAACGGGGCCTCCTCGCTGCAGCTCTACGTGCGAGGTGCGTGCACGTGTGTGTGTGTAGTGTGTCTGTGTAGTGTGTGCGTGTGTGTGTGTGTGCGTGTGTGTGTGTGTGCGTGTGTGTGTGTGCGTGTGTGTGTGTGTGTGCGTGTGTGCGTGTGTGTGTGCGTGCGCGTGTGCGTGTGTGTGTGTGTGCGTGTGTGTGTGTGCGTGTGTGCGTGTGTGTGTGCGTGTGTGTGTGTGCGTGTGTGTGTGTGCGTGTGTGTGTGTGCGTGTGTGTGTGTGTGTGTAGTGTGTGTGCGTGCACGTGTGCGTGCGTGTGTGTAGTATGTGTGCGTGTGTGTGTAGTGTGTGTGCACGTGTGTGTGTGTGTGCGTGTGTGCGTGTGTGTGTGTGCGTGTGTGTATAGTGTGTGTGCGTGCACGTGTGTGTGTAGTGTGTGTCTGCGTGTGTGTGTGCGTGTGTGTGTGCGTGCGATCTCGTGTACGCAGGAGGTCGTGGGTTCGATCCCGACCCTGACCCCCGCTGTGGGCCTTGCCTGGTAAAATAGAAATGTGTTTAGTTTGAATCCAATGTGGTTTCACGGCACGATGGGGTGTCTTCACATTCGTGCATTGATGGGGGGGGGGGAGGGGGAGGGGGCACGCATCGGGTGCGCGCTAAAGGCCACGAGGAGCCGCTGTTGGCCCCCGGGCCTCGCGATGAAGAACGCCGGCTTAGACAGAGAGAGTGGACCGCGCGGGCGACAGAGGACTACGCGGCGTTGATGACGGCGTCCCCGCTCTCGGGAAAAAGGCCGGCGGGCCAAGAAAGAACGAGGTCGGGGAGTGGCGGCCAAGCGGGGGAATCGATTCGCGGATTGTTAAACCGCAGGGCCATGAGCGCTGGCGGCGGCTTGAGTCGGAGGCCTTCATCCAGCAGTGGATTGACCGTGACGACGACCACGACGATGACAAAGACGATGACGGCAATGGCGACGACGACGAAGATGGCCACGACGATGACGACGACGACGACGACCACGACAAAGATGACCACGACGGTGACGGCGACGATGGTTATGATGACGACGACAACGAGGACCGCGCGAAACCGCGGCGCTTCGACGCGCCCCGTGTCCCCGCGTCGCGCTGAGCCCCGCGCAGACCCCGGAGCACCTCCTCATCACGCTCTCCGCGCGTGCGTTGCGCCCCCGCGCAGACCCGGAGCACCTCTTCGCGCCGGTGTCCGGCTACGACCACGTGATCCCCGTGAACGAGGGCGAGGAGGCGCTGATCCCCTGCGTGGCGGGCGACCCGCTGACCCGCGTGACGCTGGTGGCGGCCGAGCGGCCCGCCGTGGCCCTGCCCGCCACCTACCTGCCCCTGCGTGGCGTCAGCGCCCACCTCAAGGGCGGCAACTACCGGTGCCACGCCACGCTGGGGGAACGCTCCGAGATGACGCCCGAGTACAACGTCATCGAGATCCCCGGTGAGCGGGGAGGGGGGGGGGGAGAGGGCGGGGAGCGGCGTCCCTTCAGCGTCCCGCTCGCATCAGGCGCCAAGGGGAGCGCATCCCTCCCTCTCTCGTCTCTCGCCCCGCGGCTCCTCGGTCTGGGCCTCGGCATTCACCCAAGTCGACTGGGCCTTCGATGAGCAACTTGGTGCAGTCGAGTGAACGGCAGCAAACAGGGAGACCGCGCCGCAGACTTTGCGTGTCCCGTTGCGGCCCTCATCGGTGCTGCGACTCTCTAACAGCACTTGCCACAACAGTCTGTTAAGGCTACGCGGGGGATCTTTGTGGCGGGCGGGCGGTCGGGGGGGGTGATAGCTACGAACCCGGTGGCAACCCGAGATCGATTCCCACTCACGGCCACCGCTGTACACCAGTGGCGGTTATCTGAACGGGTCGTGGGCATCCCCCGGAGGTCGACTCGGCTTTAAACGAGTAGCTGGCGCGGTGTGCGGTGAAGCATCGCCACCGGGGAGTGGGCAGGCAAAAGAAAGGTGGCCGGCCGTGGTGTGGTGTGCCTACCCTCGCACCGCCCTATCGAACGCGTGTCCAGGCACGAGCGATGTTCGCGCGCCGTACGTAGCCAACCGTGCTGATTCGGAGGTGCGGGGGAAGGACAGCAGTCCCCCAGCAATGAGTTTTCAATCAAATATTTTAAAGCGCACAGCTCCGGTGGCTTCCTAACATCGGAAGGAAGAGCTTTCCAGACGGCCGGGGAAACGCGTCTGAAAGCGCCGCGCGGCGATGCGGTGACCACCGCCTTTGTTCGACGGTTAGCCAAAGGACGTCGCTAACTGCGAGGATGAACGGAGTTCGTGCGATGGTTTATCAGAATCAAAATATGTATTTATACTGGAGGAATCCGATGAGCCATCAAGCTCTTTTTCACAGATGTCCAGTTCCGAGGGGGTAAGGACGTTACAACAACAAACAATGCGAATTAAATCCCAATGCAAAATAAATCCCAACGCGGGGTTCCTCGCGTCTAAGGCTTCACGGCCTGCTCGCGTCTCTGTGCGATGTCCTCAAGTCCGTGCGTGCGCCCGTCCCCGTGTCCCACCAGTGTCGCGGCTCAACCCGACGCTGGAGGCGTCGAGCGTGAAGGTGATGAGCGGAGACTCCTTCAACATCACGTGCTCCGTGCGCGGCAACGGCATCGTCAACTTCGACTGGGAGTACCCCGGCAAACACGTGAGCCGCTCGCGCGCGCGCCAAACGTTGGACGGACGTTGGGGCTCGACGTTGAACCGATGTTGGCGTCAACGTTGGGTCAACGTTTGGGCTGAACGTGGAACGGACGTTGGTCCAGCTGACACGCACACGAACCAGCGTGGTGAAGTACGGTCGAACGGGCCCGATGACCGGTAACGGCACGGGGGGAGGCCTCCATCCAGCGGTGGATGAGTGTGCGTGACTCACGGCCACGCACGTCACAGCACTGCCAAACTCGAACGCACTTTCGCATCGCTAATGTGTGCTTGCGTGCACGGTACAGTGGGGAGCGGTGGCGCAGCGGTTAGCGCTACGCTGCGCTACGAACCCGGCGACCCGGGTTCGATTGCCGCTCACGACCAACACCAAGTGACGGTTGTCTGAACCGGTCCTGGGCCTCCCCTAGGTCGACTCAGCCTCAAATGAGTACCTGGCGCGGTGTGTAAACATTGCCACTGGGGAGACAAAGGCGGCCGGGCGTGGTGCTGGCCGCCCACCCCCTCGTGTGCCACAGTGCCGTCCTCCACGTGCGCTGCTAGCTAACAAGCACTTGCCCCAACAGTCTGTTGAGGCTGTACGGGGGACCTTTGCCTCTGTGCACGTACAGTGTAAGCATGCGCAGCGATTATTTATAATCGCTGCGTTTACGTGAAATGTGTTTGTGCGCGGTGCCCCTCTCGAGATTTACGCGGCAATTAAAATGTAATCGTCTCGCTCATAATTCCGCCTCTGTATCAGCCGCTTATTTGTTTTACGCAATTCATATCGAGCTCCGTCGGAGGACGGGGGGTGGAGGGGGGGTGGTGGTGGCGGGGTGGTGGTGGCGGGGCGACGCGGGGGGGCATCAGCGAGAGGCCCGCTCGTTGTTTTGTGAAAACAAACGAGGAAACGCTCCACGCGCGGAGGAGGAAGGGGCCCAGACCGCCGTGGCGGTGTAACAGGGCCAGCGGTGTTGGCCGCGTCGCCCGTGAACGCGATGGTCGTGCCCGCCGAACGTAAGCCGGCCGATCAGCGCGGTTGGCTAAATAGGGTGCGGAACGAGCGCAACATATTGTATGAGAAAGTTTGGCTGGCTGGCTGGCTGACTGGCTGACTGGCTGGCTGGCTGGAGGGACAGACAGACGGATGGAAGGATGTGCGGGCTGCTATTTTCCATGGGATCTCCGGCACATCGGGATCTACGGATGAAATGCGCCTTCCAGATGAAAAATTATACTATTACTATCCAATTATTATTATTATTATCATGACGACTGTCATTAAATGGGTTTAGGATACCAATGAGTGAGAAATAAGAAGTTGTTATTAACGTAGAGCTGTCGCGTTCAGAGTATTTGGCCGCTATGAATGTCCACGTGACGATGAGCCCCTTCGTTGAGCTATCACGTGTGGCCAGCTCGACTTACAACAAAGTGCTGTTAAGCTCAGTGGGGCCTTACCTGGTAACATTTAAAAAAATGTCCATCATCCAGCGGTGGATCGACAATGTCTGTACATTGTGCCCATGTCTTTATGTCGAACTTCTTTTGCGCCGGATGTAGCCAACCGTGTAAATCAGAGGTATGGGGGAAAGGACAACAAACTAAACACAAAAAAGCAGTTCGTAAATCTAGATGATGATTCAAAAGTGCGTAGCCCCAGTGGCTTCCAGAATTCGGAAGGAAGAGCGTTCCAGACGGCCGCAGATGCGCATGTGGTGAAACGTCACCCAAATGCACGAGTCACGACCCTGACTCGTGTTTGTTGTTGTTTGTTTGTCGTTGTCGTTGTTGTCACGTGGTGGTGATGGTGGTGGCGAGCAGTGGCCGAACGTGAGCGCGCCCCAGACGCTGGTGAGCGACGGAGTGCGCGCCGACGGCGAGACGGAGATCGCGAGCACGCTCACCTTCACCACGGCCACGAGCGCACAGTCAGGATCCTTCCGCTGCTCCGTGGAGAACTCGCAGGGCACGAGCAGCGAGGAGAAGCTGCACATCGACGTGCTGGGTGCGCTCGCACGTGCACTCACCCAGACTCACTCACACACTCACACTCACTCGCCCACACTCACACACACACTCACTCACACACACTCACCCACCCACACTCACTCACCAACACTCACCCACCAACACTCACACACACGCACTCGCCCACACTCACACACCAACACTCACCCACCCACACTCACACACACTCACACTCACTCACTCACACACACTCACACTCACTCACCCACACTCACACTCACTCACTCACACTCACTCACTCACCAACACTCACTCACCCACCCACACTCACTCACTCACCCAGACTCACACACACACACGCACTCACTCGCCCACACTCACACACACTCACCAACACTCACCCACCCACACTCACACACACTCACACTCACTCACTCACACTCACTCACTCACCAACACTCACTCGCCCACACTCACACACACTCACCAACACTCACCCACCCACACTCACACACACTCACACTCACTCACCCACCCACACTCACACACACTCACACTCACTCACTCACACTCACTCACACACCAACACTCACTCGCCCACACTCACACACACTCACCAACACTCACCCACCCACACTCACACACACTCACACTCACTCACCCACACTCACTCACTCACTCACACTCACTCACTCACCAACACTCACTCACCCACCAACACTCACTCACCAACACTCACCCCCACTCACCCACCCACACTCACTCACCAACACTCACTCACCCACCCACACTCACTCACCCACCAACATTCACTCACCCACACTCACACTCACTCACTCACCAACACTCACTCACACACACACACTCACCCACACTCACCCACCCACACTCACCCACACTCACTCACCCACACTCACTCACACACACTCACTCACCCACCCACACTCACTCACTCACCCACACTCACCCACCCACTCACACTCACTAACCCACATTCACTCACCCACCCACACTCACCCACAATCACTCACCCACCCACACTCACCCACACTCACTCACCCACCCACACTCACCCACACTCACCCACCCACCCACACTCACCCACCCACACTCACTCACCCACACTCAGCCACCCACACTCACTCACCCACCAACACTCACCCACACTCACCCACCCACACTCACCCACCCACTCACACTCACTAACCCACATTCACTCACCCACCCACACTCACCCACAATCACTCACCCACCCACACTCACCCACACTCACTCACCCACCCACACTCACCCACACTCACTCACCCACCCACACTCACCCATCCACACTCACTCACACACACTCACTCACCCACCCACACTCACTCACCCACACTCACCCACCCACACTCACCCACCCACACTCACCCACACTCACTCACCCACCCACACTCACCCACCCACACTCACTCACCCACACTCAGCCACCCACACTCACTCGGCCACCAACACTCACACACACTCACCCACCCACATTCACCCACCCACTCACACTCACTCACCCACACTCACTCACCCACCCACACTCACCCACAATCACTCACCCACCCACACTCACCCACACTCACTCACCCACACTCACCCACACTCACTCACCCACCCACACTCACACACACTCACCCACACTCACTCACCCACACTCACTCACCCACACTCACTCACCCACACTCACCCACCTACACTCACCCACACTCACTCACTCACCCACACACACCCACCCACACTCACCCACACTCACACACCCACCCACACTCACCAACACCCACTCACCCACCCTCACTCACCCACCAACACTCACCCGCACTCACACACCCACACTCACCCACCAACACTCACCCACCCACACTCACCCACACTCACTCACCCACCCACATTCGCCCACACTCACCCACCCAGACTCACACACCCACACTCATCCACTCACATTCACCCACATTCACTCACTCACCCACACTCACACACCCACACTCACACACCCACCCACACTCACCCACACTCACTCACCCACCCACACTCACCCACCCACACTCACCCACACTCACTCACCCACCCACACTCACCCACACTCACTCACTCACACTCAATCACCCACACTCACCCACCCACACTCACTGACACACCCACACTCACCCACACTCACCCACCCACACTCACCCACTCACACTCACCCACACTCACCCACACTCACCCACCCACACTCACCCACACTCACACACCCACACTCACTCACACAACCACACTCACCCACACTCACCCACCCACACTCACCCACTCACACTCACCCACACTCACCCACACTCACCCACCCACACTCACCCACACTCACACACCCACACTCACCCACTCTCACCCACCCACACTCACCGACACTCACACACCCACACTCACCCACACTCACCCACCAACACTCACTCACACACACTCACTCACCCACCCACACTCACTCACCCACCCACACTCACCCACCCACACTCACCCATCCACACTCACTCACCCACCCACACTCACCCACACGCACTCACCCACACTCACCCACCCACACTCAACCACACTCATCCACCCACACTCACCCACCCACACTCACCCACACTCACTCACCAACCCACACTCACCCACACTCACCCACACTCACCCACCCACACTCACCCACCCACACTCACTCACCCACACTCACTCACCCACCCACACTCACCCACCCACACTCACCCACCCACACTCACCCACACTCACCCAACCACACTCACTCACCCACACTCACCCACCCACACTCACCCACCCACACTCACCCACCCACACTCACCCACACTCACTCACCCACCCACACTCACCCACCCACACTCACTCACCCACACTCAGCCACCCACACTCACTCGGCCACCAACACTCACACACACTCACCCACCCACATTCACCCACCCACTCACACTCACTCACCCACACTCACTCACCCACCCACACTCACCCACAATCACTCACCCACCCACACTCACCCACACTCACTCACTCACCCACACTCACCCACACTCACTCACCCACCCACACTCACACACACTCACCCACACTCACTCACCCACACTCACTCACCCACACTCACTCACCCACACTCACCCACCTACACTCACCCACACTCACTCACTCACCCACCCACACACACCCACCCACACTCACCCACACTCACACACCCACCCACACTCACCAACACCCACTCACCCACCCTCACTCACCCACCAACACTCACCCGCACTCACACACCCACACTCACCCACCAACACTCACCCACCCACACTCACCCACACTCACTCACCCACCCACACTCACCCACCCACACTCACCCACTCACACTCACCCACACTCACCCACACTCACCCACCCACACTCACCCACACTCACACACCCACACTCACTCACACAACCACACTCACCCACACTCACCCACCCACACTCACCCACTCACACTCACCCACACTCACCCACACTCACCCACCCACACTCACCCACACTCACACACCCACACTCACCCACTCTCACCCACCCACACTCACCCACACTCACACACCCACACTCACCCACACTCACCCACCAACACTCACTCACCCACCCACACTCACCCACACGCACTCACCCACACTCACCCACCCACACTCACCCACCCACACTCAACCACACTCACCCACCCACACTCACCCACACTCACCCACACTCACTCACCAACCCACACTCACCCACACTCACCCACACTCACCTACCCACCCACACTCACCCACCCACACTCACTCACCCACACTCACTCACCCACCCACACTCACCCACCCACACTCACCCACCCACACTCACCCACACTCACCCAACCACACTGACCCACCCACACTCACCCACACTCACTCACCCACACTCACTCACCCACACTCACCCACCCACACTCACCCACACTCACTCACTCACCCACCCACACACACCCACCCACACTCACCCACACTCACACACCCACCCACACTCACCAACACCCACTCACCCACCCTCACTCACCCACCAACACTCACCCGCACTCACACACCCACACTCACCCACCAACACTCACCCACCCACACTCACCCACACTCACTCACCCACCCACACTCACCCACTCACACTCACCCACACTCACCCACACTCACCCACCCACACTCACCCACACTCACACACCCACACTCACTCACACAACCACACTCACCCACACTCACCCACCCACACTCACCCACTTACACTCACCCACACTCACCCACACTCACCCACCCACACTCACCCACACTCACACACCTACACTCACCCACTCTCACCCACCCACACTCACTCACACACACTCACTCACCCACCCACACTCACTCACCCACCCACACTCACCCACCCACACTCACCCACCCACACTCACTCACCCACCCACACTCACCCACACGCACTCACCCACACTCACCCACCCACACTCACCCACCCACACTCAACCACACTCATCCACCCACACTCACCCACCCACACTCACCCACACTCACTCACCAACCCACACTCACCCACACTCACCCACACTCACCCACCCACCCACACTCACCCACCCACACTCACTCACCCACACTCACTCACCCACACTCACTCACCCACCCACACTCACCCACCCACACTCACCCACCCACACTCACCCACACTCACCCAACCACACTGACCCACCCACACTCACCCACACTCACTCACCCACACTCACTCACCCACACTCACTCACCCACACTCACCCACCCACACTCACCCACACTCACTCACTCACCCACCCACACACACCCACCCACACTCACCCACCCTCACACACCCACCCACACTCACCAACACCCACTCACCCACCCTCACTCACCCACCAACACTCACCCGCACTCACACACCCACACTCACCCACCAACACTCACCCACCCACACTCACCCACACTCACTCACCCACCCACACTCACCCACTCACACTCACCCACACTCACCCACACTCACCCACCCACACTCACCCACACTCACACACCCACACTCACTCACACAACCACACTCACCCACACTCACCCACCCACACTCACCCACTCACACTCACCCACACTCACCCACACTCACCCACCCACACTCACCCACACTCACACACCCACACTCACCCACTCTCACCCACCCACACTCACTCACACACACTCACTCACCCACCCACACTCACTCACCCACCCACACTCACCCACCCACACTCACCCATCCACACTCACTCACCCACCCACACTCACCCACACTCACACACCCACACTCACCCACTCTCACCCACCCACACTCACCCACACTCACACACCCACACTCACCCACTCTCACCCACCCACACTCACTCACTCACACTCACTCACCCACCCACACTCACTCACCCACCCACACTCACCCACCCACACTCACCCATCCACACTCACTCACCCACCCACACTCACCCACACGCACTCACCCACACTCACCCACCCACACTCACCCACCCACACTCAACCACACTCATCCACCCACACTCACCCACCCACACTCACCCACACTCACTCACCAACCCACACACACCCACACACACCCACACACACCCACCCACCCACACACACCCACCCACACTCACTCACCCACACACACTCACCCACCCACACTCACCCACCCACACTCACCCACCCACACTCACCCACACTCACACAACCACACTGACCCACCCACACTCACCCACACTCACTCACCCACACTCACTCACCCACACTCACTCACCCACACTCACCCACCCACACTCACCCACACTCACTCACTCACCCACCCACACACACCCACCCACACTCACCCACCCTCACACACCCACCCACACTCACCAACACCCACTCACCACCCTCACTCACCCACCAACACTCACCCGCACTCACACACCCACACTCACCCACCAACACTCACCCACCCACACTCACCCACACTCACTCACCCACCCACACTCATCCACTCACACTCACCCACACTCACCCACACCCACACTCACCCACCCACACTCACCCACACTCACACACCCACACTCACTCACACAACCACACTCACCCACACTCACCCACCCACACTCACCCACTCACACTCACCCACACTCACCCACACTCACCCACCCACACTCACCCACACTCACACACCCACACTCACCCACTCTCACCCACCCACACTCACCCACACTCACACACCCACACTCACCCACACTCACCCACCCACACTCACTCACACACACTCACTCACCCACCCACACTCACTCACCCACCCACACTCACCCACCCACACTCACCCATCCACACTCACTCACCCACCCACACTCACCCACACGCACTCACCCACACTCACCCACCCACACTCACCCACCCACACTCAACCACACACACCCACCCACACACACCCACCCACACTCACCCACACTCACTCACCAACCCACACTCACCCACACTCACCCACACTCACCCACCCACCCACACTCACCCACCCACACTCACTCACCCACCCTCACTCACCCACCCACACTCACCCACCCACACTCACCCACCCACACTCACCCACACTCACCCAACCACACTGACCCACCCACACTCACCCACACTCACTCACCCACACTCACTCACCCACACACACTCACCCACACTCACCCACCCACACTCACCCACACTCACTCACTCACCCACCCACACACACCCACCCACACTCACCCACCCTCACACACCCACCCACACTCACCAACACCCACTCACCACCCTCACTCACCCACCAACACTCACCCGCACTCACACACCCACACTCACCCACCAACACTCACCCCCCCACACTCACCCACACTCACTCACCCACCCACACTCACCCACTCACACTCACCCACACCCACCCACACCCACACTCACCCACCCACACTCACCCACACGCACACACCCACACACACACACACAACCACACTCACCCACACTCACCCACCCACACTCACCCACTCACACTCACCCACACTCACCCACACTCACCCACCCACACTCACCCACACTCACACACCCACACTCACCCACTCTCACCCACCCACACTCACCCACACTCACACACCCACACTCACCCACACTCACCCACCCACACTCACTCACACACACTCACTCACCCACCCACACTCACACACCCACCCACACTCACCCACCCACACTCACCCATCCACACTCACTCACCCACCCACACTCACCCACACGCACTCACCCACACTCACCCACCCACACTCACCCACCCACACTCAACCACACTCATCCACCCACACTCACCCACCCACACTCACCCACACTCACTCACCAACCCACACTCACCCACACTCACCCACACTCACCCACCCACCCACACTCACCCACCCACACTCACCCACCCACACTCACTCACCCACCCACACTCACCCACCCACACTCACCCACCCACACTCACCCACACTCACCCAACCACACTGACCCACCCACACTCACCCACACTCACTCACCCACACTCACTCACCCACACTCACTCACCCACACTCACCCACCCACACTCACCCACACTCACTCACTCACCCACCCACACTCACCCACCCACACTCACCCACCCTCACACACCCACCCACACTCACCCACACCCCCTCACCACCCTCACTCACCCACCAACACTCACCCGCACTCACACACCCACACTCACCCACCAACACTCACCCACCCACACTCACCCACACTCACTCACCCACCCACACTCATCCACTCACACTCACCCACACTCACCCACACCCACACTCACCCACCCACACTCACCCACACTCACACACCCACACTCACTCACACAACCACACTCACCCACACTCACCCACCCACACTCACCCACTCACACTCACCCACACTCACCCACACTCACCCACCCACACTCACCCACACTCACACACCCACACTCACCCACTCTCACCCACCCACACTCACCCACACTCACACACCCACACTCACCCACTCTCACCCACCCACACTCACTCACACACACTCACTCACCCACCCACACTCACTCACCCACCCACACTCACCCACCCACACTCACCCATCCACCCTCACTCACCCACCCACACTCACCCACACTCACACACCCACACTCACCCACCCACACTCACCCACCCACACTCAACCACACTCATCCACCCACACTCACCCACCCACACTCACCCACACTCACTCACCAACCCACACTCACCCACACTCACCCACACTCACCCACCCACCCACACTCACCCACCCACACTCACTCACCCACACTCACTCACCCACCCACACTCACCCACCCACACTCACCCACCCACACTCACCCGCCGCCGGCCGCGGCGGCGACGCAGCTCACCCGCGTCCTCCGTGTGCCTGGGCGCGTTGGCAGAGAGCGGCTACGTGCGCCTGCACACGCTGGTGGCGCGCGTGGAGCGCGCGCGAGCGGGCGAGGTGCGCCGCTTCGCCGTGGCCGTGGAGGCGTTCCCCGCGCCCTCGGCCGCGTGGTACAAGGACGGGCGGCGCCTGCACGGGGGCCTGGGGGAGGCCGACGTCACGCTCGACGTGCACGACCTCAAGCGCGGCCGGTGAGAGGGGGTCGCCCGCCTGCCCGCTCGCTCAACCGTCCGCCCGCCCGCTCGCTCGCTGGCCGACCGCGCGTGCGCGGCTCCCAATGACGGGATGACTAAAGGGGTCCGCGGCAGCTCGACAAACCGTTGGGGAACCGCCGTTTGTGATCCGGCGAACGTTCGATTTGGAATGTTTAGTTTTTTACGAAGGTGAAGCTGAGCGCCGAGGCGGCTCCGTGCCAGGGTGTGACTGGCAGGGTGTGACGCGGGGTGTGACGCGGGGTGTGACGCGGGGTGTGACCCAGGAGGGTGTGACCCAGGGTGTGACTGTGCCAGGGTGTGATGCGGGGTGTGACCCAGGGTGTGACCCAGGGTGTGACCCAGGGTGTGACCCAGGAGGGTGTGACCCAGGGTGTGACCCAGGGTGTGACTCCAGGGTGTGACCGTGCCAGGGTGTTACCCAGGAGGGTGTGACCCAGGGTGTGACCGTGCCAGGGTGTGACGCGGGTGTGACCCAGGAGGGTGTGACTCCAGGGTGTGACGTTGGGTGTGACCCAGGGTGTGACCCAGGGTGTGACGCGGGGTGTGACGCGGGGTGTGACCCAGGGTGTGACCCGGGGTGTGACCCGGGGTGTGACGTGGGCTCTCACCGCGTGCCAGGTACGAGAGCGTGCTCACCCTCGTGCGCACCAAGGAGGAGGACAGTGGCGAGTACACGCTCAGTGTGGAGAACCCCCACGACTCAGCCAACCACAGCTTCAGCCTCTACGTGTTCGGTGAGGCACGCTCGCCATGACGACGGGCGGGGCGCGTGGGGGGGGGGCGTGGGGGGGTGAGGGGGGGGGGTGTGGGGGGGGAGCGGGGGGGGGGGACGTGGGGGGGGGGGGACAGGGGGGTCCGAGAAGGCTCCCCCTAAACCCCCGCGTGCTGGCCTCTCCTGGTCACCATCGCCATCATTATCTACCGTGGAGCTCCGCCGTGAGCCACGAGGCTCCTTTTTGTCGCGGACGGTCCGGTGGGCCCGGCGTCCGGCGCTCGCGCCAGGGCCCCTCCTTCACTCCGCTGCTGGATGGATGCCTCCGTGCGTTCTGCCGCGTGCAGTCCCCGCGACCATCAAGGAGCTCTCGGACGCCCACGGGGTGAACGACACGGAGACCCACGTGGTGACGTGCGTCGCGGAGGGGCTGCCCGTGCCCGAGATCACGTGGTACACCTGCTCGGACCTCAGGAGGTGAACGACTACGCGGGCGCGTCCTGTCCGCTGATACTGCTGCTGCTGCTGGATGAGGCTCTCCATTGCTGCACAGAACTTCCGCTGGCCGCTGCGTAGCCCCGCAGGAGCCTCCAACGGCGGCTGTGGTCACCCACTGGAGCGCCGTGCGGGCACAAATTCCTCCGTAGCTTCCGCGATCTGCCAATGTCGGGCGCACGTATCTCACGGGAGCCTCCTATCCCTTCATCCAGCAGTAGATTAATGATGGCTGATGACGGCTCGGAAGTGCACACCGTTGTTCGTGATCTTGGTCCACATTTTGTTCAGTTCAAAGGTGGTGAGGCTGGCCCAACTTGACCTCCGTCTCTGTCTCTCCCTCCGTCTCTGTATCACTCTCCATCTCCCTGTCTCCCCCTCGATCTCCCTGTCTCTCCCTCTATCTCCCTGTCTCCCCCTCGATCTCCCTGTCTCTCCCTCTATCTCCCTGTCTCTCCCTCTATCTCCCTGTCTCTCCCTCTATCTCCCTGTCTCTCCCTCTATCTCCCTGTCTCTCCCTCTATCTCCCTGTCTCTCCCTCTATCTCCCTGTCTCTCCCTCTATCTCCCTGTCTCTCCCTCTATCTCCCTGTCTCTCCCTCTATCTCCCTGTCTCTCCCTCTATCTCCCTGTCTCTGTCTCTCCCTCTATCTCCCTCTATCTCCCTCCGTCTCCGTCTCCCCGTCTCCATCTCCTACCCTCCCCTTCCCCCTCTCTCAGCTGTAACGAGCGCTGGGCCTGGCAGCTGCTCAACAGCACCGGCGGCGCCGGCGGCTCCGGCGGCGCCGGCGGCGGCACGGAGGTGGAGACCCACGCCATCGTTGGGGGTCTCACCTCGTCCTCGTCGTCGTCATCGTCGTCGTCGTCGTCCGACGGGCCGGGCCCGGCCGCGGAGTTCCGCAGGGCGCGCGTGTCCAGCACGCTCACGTTCCCGCGCCTCGACCGCTCCACGGCCGTGCGCTGCGACGCCACCAACGCGTTCACGCGCGCCAGCGGCAGCCTGCGGCACGGCGACGACGGCGACGACGGCGGCGACGACGACGACGACGGCGACGACGCGGAGCCCCTGCACAGCGCCGTGCAGGTCGTCAAGCTCGTCAAGAACGGTGAGCACACCCCGCCCCCCCCCCCCTCTCCCCCTCCACAGTCTCCCCCCCCCCCCCACCACCACCCCCACCCCCACCCCTCCTTCCCGTCCCTTTCTTTCCCCCCAGCATGTTAGTTATATCTGCTGGCGCGCCGCGGTGGCTAGGAGATGTTAACTCCCTCGCCTGGTACGCAGGAGATCGTGGGTTCGATCCAGACCCTGACACCTGCTGCTGCTGTATATTTGTAGTTTGCGGTGTCTCTCATCATCATTATCACGGTGGCTATGAGATGTTAACTCCCTCGCCTGGTACGCAGGAGATCGTGGGTTCGATCCAGACCCTGACACCTGCTGCTGCTGTATATTTGTAGTTTGCGTGTCTCTCTCTCTCATCATCATCATCACGGTGGCTATGAGATGTTAACTCCCTCGCCTGGTACGCAGGAGATCGTGGGTTCGATCCAGACCCTGACGCCTGGCTGCTGCTGTATATTTGTAGTTTGCGGTGTCTCTTTCTCTCTCTCCCCGTGGTCGCGTGGATTTTTCTCTGGGTCCCCCGGCTATTCCCTCCACATGTAGAATCGACATCACGCGTTTAGAGTAGGCGAGTCATCCTGAGCTGTCGCGCGCTGCACGTTTCCAATCCTGCGTCTGCCTGTTCGTGATCTCACGTCCCCTTTTGTACGGCAAAAACAAAAAACAGCTAAATCAAACCTACCGCACTTAAAATTAAAAACCATTCAACTCTTTTTGTTTGTTTTTTTAAACAGGTAAGGCCCCAGTGAGCTATGTAGCGCTCTCTTTCAGAAGCAACCTGGCCACAAATGATAGCTCAACGAAGTGGATTATCGCGTGGAGATTTATAACAGCACCCAACCACTCTGAACGCGTGGTGATGATGATTCTAAACGCGGAGGGAAAAACCGGATGACCCAGAGAAAAAAATCCACGTGACCACGGGGAGAGAGAGAGAGACGCAAACTCCAAATATACAGCAGCAGGCGTCAGGGTCAGACTCGAACCCAACAGCTCCCGCATACCAGGCGAGGTAGTTAACATCTCCTAGCCACCGCGGCGGGCCTCCCGTGCTTTAAGACCGCAGCGTTTCAAGCGCTGCGTTGGGCGCGACCGTAATTACACAACGTCGCCTCTCTCTACCCTTTGGCAGATTCTCACTCGAAGCTCAAGGTGATGGCGGCCATCTTGGTGCTGCTGGTGGTCGTCATCGTCTCTCTCATCGTGCTCGTCGTCGTCTGGAAGCAGGTAGACGTGGTCCCCTCCTCGCCGACGACGCACGACCGCCTGCCGCCGCTGTCTTGCGGACACGCGCACGTACTCTCGCGATGGTTTAGCTGGCGTATGGACGTGCGCATGTTGAGATTCATTCGCTCCGTACATGGCCAACCGTGCTCATCGGAGGTGCCGATGATGGCGTCAATGATGGCAATATTGATGACATTTGCTATAATGATAATGAAGCTGAAGATGAAGCTGATGATGATGATGACACTTACAGTGATGAAAATTATACCGCTGATGACGGTGTTAACGATGATGAGGATCGTGATGATGAAACTCACAATGATGATAATGAACCTGCTGGTGATGGTGTCAATTATGATGTTGACGACGACGATGTTGATGATGACGATGATGGTGACGACGCTGACGCCGATGATTTGGTGGGGCCTTGCCGGCTTGCAGAAGCCGCGCTACGAGGTCCGCTGGAAGGTGATCGAGTCGATCAGCCCCGACGGGCACGAGTATGTCTACGTGGACCCCACGCAGCTCCCCTACGACTCCCGCTGGGAGCTCTCCCGGGACTCCCTCCAGCTCGGTGAGCCAGCGGAGCCGGAGCTGCGAGCCAGGCGGGCGGACAGCGGCGACGGCGTAGCGGTGGGCGCGCCGCGGCCGCTAACCGCTACGCCGCGATCTTTCCCGGCAACGCGTTTCGGCTCGCACTCTGCGCGGGCGAGCGGCCGCGGCCTGGCTGAGCCTGGGCCCCCCCCCCCCTCCTCCTCCTCCTCCTCTGGACCGACTCGGCCCGAAAAGTCGAGCGCCGGGTCCGCCCGACGTGTGAACGCCGAGGCTGCGAACGACTCGGGCGGTCGCACGTGGCGCTGGTGCCGCCGACGCCGCCTCGCGTCCACTACAGCCACGCTAGGCGCTCGCTAACGCTGCGTGGGCCGCTGAATGGGCTGACGGTGGTGCCATGCGCTGACTGCACCACCCTCCCTCCCCCCCCGTCACCAGGCCGGATCCTGGGCTCGGGAGCGTTTGGGAAGGTGGTGGAGGCCACGGCTCGTGGGATGAGCCACTCGCAGACCTACATGAAGGTGGCGGTCAAGATGCTGAAACGTACGTACCACCGCCGTCGTCACCGTCGTCATCATCAACACACGTCACCATCATCACCGTCGTCATTGTCGTCATCATCGACACATCACCATCATCACTGTCGTCATCATCGACACATCATCATCACCATCATTCTCTTCACTGCCAATTCCATCATCATCATAATCAAAAAACTATTAAGAATATATATCACCAGGTTAGACCCACTGAGCTGTATAGCTCTTTTTTCAGAAGTGACCTGGTCACAAACAATAACTCGGCGTAGTGGCTTATCATCACGTAGAAATGTATTGCAAACAAAAACTCGATTCTCACGTTGATTCTAAATGTGGAGGGAAAAACCGGAGGACCGGGAGAAAAATCTATGCCGCCACGGGGAGAGAGACACGTAAACTCCAAATATACAGCAGCAGGCATCAAGGTCGGGATCGAACCCGTGACCTTCTGCGTACCAGGCGAGGTAGTTAACATCTCCTATCCACCGTGATGATGATGATGATGAGAGAGACGCAAACTTCCAAATACACAGCAGAAGCAGGCGTCAGGGTCGGAATCGAACCCACCACCTCCTGCGCACCAGGCGAGGTAGTTAACATCTCCTAGCCACCGTGGCGCCCAAACAGCATCGCCATTGGCCGAGGAGGAGGAGGAGGAGGAGGATCCAGGGCGTGAGATTCGTGAGAACGATGACGGCGGTAGCGGCGATGAAAGCGTGACAGGGAAGCGACTGACTTGACAGCGAGAGAGCAGCGTTGAGTTGGGCGAGTAGAGAAATAAGCCTTTGGGCATCCTCTGGTCGAACACTGTTTGAGACTAGGCTCTAAAGAAAGCTGTCTCTGGTGTGGATCAATCAGTTTCAAAGACAATGCATCGTATACTAACAAATCATGTTTTTTGTTTGCGTGCTCACCACGAGTACTGTGTGTGGTTATTGCAGACGCGATTCCTTGCCAAAGGTTTCTGTTTGGTGTTTTAACATCTTAACGCCTCCTGTTTTATTGCCAGAAAGGGTGAAACCTATTCTTGCAATTTGACACTGGCAAGGTAGGTCCCATGATGATGAGAGAAACAGGCGTGGGACCGTTCCGATTCACACCGAACCTCGCGGAACACGCTCGGCCGAGCCCCCGGCTCCGGCCTTGGCGATTGCGCCGTTCATCCGGGCGCTCCCTCTGTGTCGCTCTCCGATTACGATCCACAAACGCCTTCGTGTCGAGGCAGTGTCTCATGGTCGATAACGGCGAACGTGTGTGCGCTGCTACCGCTGCTGCATGCTCACAGCCACGGCGCGCACGAGCGAGAAGCAGGCGCTCATGTCGGAGCTGAAGATCATGAGCCACCTGGGACCTCACCTCAACATCGTCAACCTCCTCGGGGCCTGCACGAAAGGAGGTGGGCGCCGCACGAAGACGCGTCCGTGCCGATCACCACGCGATACTCGATACGTGCGTCCGCTGGAGTGCCACGAGAATCGGTTATAATTCGCCGGTGGTCAAGACTAACGGTGGAGTGGCAGCCGAAGGAGGGAAGCCAACCCAACAGGTTCCTAAGCGCCAGGCGGTGTTTGCGTGTCACGCCAGGGCCCATCTACATCATCACGGAGTACTGTTGCCACGGCGACCTGGTCAACTACCTCCACCGCAAGCGCGACCGCTTCCTCTACGGCTCGGCCAGCAAGGACAAGTTCGACGGAGACATCTTCAGCCTCAACAGCAGCGGGGAGAACACGCGCAGGTGAGCGCCCACTCACTCGCTCGCCCAATCGCACGCTCACTCAGCCGCTCGCTTGACCAATAGCACAGTCACGCTCTCGACCAATCGCACGCTCACTCGCTCAATCACTCGCACGCTCACTCGCTTGACCAACCGCACGCTCGCTCACCTGCTCGCTCGACCAATCGCACGCTCGCTCACCCGCTCACTCCCTCGCCCAATTGCACGTTCGCTCACCCGCTCGCTCGGTCGACCAATCGCACGCTCGCTCGCTCACCCCGTCACTCTCTCGACCAATCGTACGTTCGCTCAACGGCTCACTCCTTCGACCAATCGCACACTCGTTCGTCCACTGTTTGCTTGCTGTAACTCTTTGCTTGCTGTGGAAGGCGCAATACGAATTGACATTATTGCATAATTACTATCAAGCGGTGGAACGCCGTAGGGCTCCGAGTAAACGCGCGGCACCTTCCTCCTTGACACGGCCGTCCCTCGTGCCTCCCTTCGTGCCGCCCCGCAGCTATGTGCTGCTGTCGTTCGAGGAGGAGGGCGCCTACATGGACATGAAGACGGTGGACATGGGCCAGTACGTCCCCATGACGGAGAGCGGGCAGCCGCACTCCTACTACTCGCACCCGCCCTCGCACCGCCGCCTCACCATGGATGGTACGTGGGGGGCAGTGGTGGTGGTGCTCACGTGGCCCAGGAGGAAACGATGTTATTGGTGGAGGAGGGAGCAATGTTATTGGTAGAGGAGGGAGCGAGGTTACTGGTGGAGGGTGCGATGTTACTGGTGGAGGAGGGAGCGATGTTATTGGTGGAGGAGGGAGCAATGTTATTGGTGGAGGAGGGAGCAATGTTATTGGTAGAGGAGGGAGCGAGGTTACTGGTGGAGGGTGCGATGTTAATGGTGGAGGAGGGAGTGATGTTATTAGTGGAAAAGGGAGCGATGTTATTGGTGGAGGGAGTGATGCGATTGGTGGAGGAGGGAGCGATGTTATTGGTGGAAGAGGGAGCAATGTTATTTGTGGAGGGAGCGATGCTATTGGTGGAGGGAGCGATGCTATTGGTGGAAGAGGGAGTGATGTTCATGGTGGAGGGAGCGATGTTATTGGTGGAAGAGGGAACGATACTTTTGGGGGAAGAGTGAGCGATGTTAATGGTGGAAGAGGGAGCGATGTTATTGGTGGAGGGAGCGATGTTAATGGTGGAAGAGGGAGCGATGTTATTGGTGGAGGGAGCGATGCTATTGGTGGAAGAGGGAGCGATTTTATTGGTCGTAGAGTGAGCGATGTTATTGGTGGAAAAGGGAGCGATGTTATTGGTGGAGGGAGCGATGCTATTGGTGGAAGAGGGAGCGATTTTATTGGTGGAAAAGGGAGCGATGTTATTGGTGGAGGGAGCGATGCTATTGGTGGAAGAGGGAGCGATTTTATTGGTGGAAAAGGGAGCGATGTTATTGGTGGAAGAGGGAGCGATGTTATTGGTGGAAGAGGGAGCGATGTTATTGGTGGCGCGCGTCACCGTTCACGAGTCGCGCGTCGCCGTTCCGACTGCCCCGGCTCTTGTCGCGTCACGTCGCTGTGCGTGTCTGCCACCCGTGCCGCTGCAGAGAAAGACCGTGAGGTTTTCTTCCCCGATTTCGTGGACGAGGAACTGGCTCCGCTCCACCTCAACGACCTTATCAGCTTCAGCTACCAAGTCGCCAAGGGCATGGAGTTCCTGGCCTCCAAGAACGTAAGCTGAGCAGCGATGGCAGCGACGGTGGCGCCTACGGGCAAAAGTTCAAGGGGAAAACAAATTCAACTTACACCTTGCCAGCTGTCGGTGTTCACTCCTCGCCCTCGTAGAGAGAGGTGCCAGGAGGAGAAGGCAGCAGTCACGTGATGAGCCGGCGGCAATAATTGCCCAAGCTCTGCAGTCCTCTGTATAGTCAGGTTTTCTCGGCCACTGAATGAGCTTTACATGTGGGTGGAACCCGATACAGACGGAGCAGTTAGGAATCCACATTTTTGCTGTACTGCCTTCTCCTGGCGAGCCAGGGCATGGCTCTTCCATACCCATAGGAAGGGATTCATCAACCCCACCGTGCTGAATTACAGGCCACCACCGCCCGGCACGTCGACACGTCCCGTGTCTCTGGTGCGGAGTGATCAGTGTCTCCGTGCGCATGTCCCATGTGTTGTGTCCACAGTGCGTTCACCGTGACCTCGCAGCCCGTAACGTCCTCCTCTCCGACCGTCGCACCGTCAAAATCTGCGACTTCGGCCTCGCGAGGGACATAATGCACGACTCCAACTACGTGTCCAAGGGCAGCGTAAGCGGCAGCACCGCTCACCGGGGAGACACGTGGACCCATCTCACTCACTGGGGGGGATCTTTGTCTTTGCCAGCGTGTGTGCCAGCGTGTGTGCCAGCGCATGGCCTCACCAAGGTTATTTGAGAGTCCTATTCAGTGCTCAATAACGCAGAACAAAATTAAAAACGAAGTTACTCCTGGCGAGCGCTGGGAGCCAGCGTGTCGTTCCGCTTCTCATCAAATTGACAACCGCGGCTCCTACCATCGCCCCGTTTCTGTCTCCCATCGCCCCATGTCTCTGTCTCTCTCAGACTTTCCTCCCCGTGAAGTGGATGGCTCCGGAGAGCATCTTCGACAACCTGTACACGACTCAGAGCGACGTGTGGTCGTACGGAATCCTGCTGTGGGAAATCTTCTCTCTAGGCGAGTACAGCATCATCGTCGTCGTCATCATGGTCACCGGGCAGCATTAGCATCAGCGGCAGTGTCATTGCCATCATCCGATTCATCATCATCACTCGCAGTATTAGTAGAAGCATCCGCAGAATCACTGTTTTCCTCATCGTCACATAGCATCGTGATTGTCATCATCAGCGGCATGACCTTCACCATATGATCACACGCACGTCTGCACCCATCGATCCATAAGCGATGGCATTGCTTCGCGTGTTTCCGCGAGGCTCACGCCGCGCGTTTGTGCCGCACGTCGTCCAGGAGGGACTCCGTACCCGGGGATGCCGGTCGACTCTCAGTTCTACAACAAGCTCAAGTCCGGCTACCGCATGGACTCGCCGGATTACGCCCCGCCCGACATGTGAGCGCACGCACGGGCACGCGCGGGCAAACGTGAGCACGCCCGGGCAAACGTGAGCACGCGCGGGCAAACGTGAGCACGCGCGGGCAAATGTGAGCACGCGCGGGCAAATGTGAGCACGCGCGCCACCGTGGCGCCCATGGTTGAAGTCACGGGGCGAGTGTGGCCCTCACAGGCTGCAGATTTCCCAGCCCTGGCTTAAGGTTTTTGGTGACTGCTTGGGGAGGTTTTCATCCAGCGGTGGATAGGTCACGGCTGATTACGACGGTGGTGATGGCGATGTGTGTTGTTCTGCACAGATACGACTTCATGGTGCGATGCTGGAACGCGGACGCTGAGAAACGCCCCACGTTCTCCCGCCTCTCCGACATGATGGCCAAACTCATGCCCAGCGGATTCCAAAAGGTGACATAGCTCAGTACAGTACAACGCAGATTTTAATAGAGCGTCGACTACAAATGCCCCTGAACACATCGTACAATCAATTATAGAACCCATGACGATGACCACGACGATCACGACGATGACAGTGATGATGATCGTGATGATGATAATGAAGTTGATGATGACGACGATGACAGTGATAATGACAACGATGTTGCTGACGACGACAGTGACGACGACGACGACGACAAAGCTGACGACGACCTAACCCCGTCTCCCCGCCCGCGCCAGTCGTACGAGAAGCAGGGCGAGGAGTTCCACCTGCACCACCCGGCCGTGGCCCGCCTGCGAGCGGCCTCCGACCTCTCGTACGTGGGGGTCGCCTACAGCCCCGCGGGCAAGGGGGGGGACGCCGTCGGCGTCGGCGGGGGGCAGCACGCCTCCGACGAGCTCTCGGAGCAGCGGTCCGACACGGACAGCGGCTACATCATCCCGCTGCCCGACATCGAGCCGCCCAGCATGGAAGACGGACACTCGCACAACAGCCAAAGGTGGGCGCGAGTGGTGGGGGCGGAATCTAGCAACTAGTTTTTTGTTTTTTATTTTAATCAGGCAAGGCCCCCCCGCTGAGCTCCAGACAGCTTTTTGGTTGGGGCCACCGCAAACGATGGCCCAACGAAGTGGCTTGGTCATCATGTCGAAATGTATAGCGGCGTTGATGTTGATTCTAAATGTGGAGGTAAAATAACAATAAAAGTCTACATCATTAGACCTCCTTTGCCAGTACCAAAATGTAATAATAGGGGTTTTCCCCCTTTTTTCTGGCAACAAAACTGAAACCTTTTTACAAGGACTTATGTCTGCATTAACCACAATACCTGCAGTCAAAATGCAAACAAAAAAACACACTATGATAATATATGCATTGTCCTTGAAATTGATTAGTCCACACCAAGCGACGGCTTTCTTTTGTGTTATAAATTTGTATTTAAAGCTTTCGTGACTGCAGGGATTCATATTCTTGGTTCTGTCGGTAAAGTCACCACCACGTAGAAGGGAAACAATAAAATAATAAAAATATAAAACAATAAAATTCTCACGACGTTTCGACTGCAACACAAGCAATGATTGCACTGATTGTTTGTGTTGCAGTCGAAACGTCGTGAGAATTTTATTGTTTTATATTTTTATTGTTTTATTGTTTCCCTTCTACGTGACTTTACCGAAAGAACCAATAATACAAGAGTGTTATAGTTAAGAATAAGTTTTACCCAGACAATGCATATATTATCAGAGCATGTTTGTTTGCATGTTCAGCACAAGTACTGTGCGTGGTTAATGCGAACTTGATTCCTTGCAAAAGGTTTATATTTGGTGTTTGAACATCTTAACACCCCATGTTTTATTGATACTGGCAAAAAGGTCCCTTGAAATACAGTAGCTGTATAGCTTATAGCGATCAGACGGCTTGTTCTGCGTCCGGTGCGTTGACGTTGTGCCCCCTCCCCCTCCCTCCCTCCCCCGGCGTGTCTCGGCAGTACGGGGCTGTGCGAGGACAGCCTCAACGACGACTCGCAACACCGCCTCCTCCCCCTCACCAAGGACTACGAGGAGATGATGGAGGTGATGGACATGTCCTCCAGCCTGGTGGAGGACAGCTTCCTTTGAGGCGACCCACCCGATGACCCCCGTGACCCCACACCACGACCCCCCCGCGAGCCCACCCTAGCAACCCTTGACCTTTTGAGACTCGGCCAACTCGGGTACGGACGTCAGAGAAATACGGTCGCCGACGCCGACGAAGAGGATAACGGAAATATTCCGCGCCCGCGAGAGCGATCGTCGGCCAGGCAAACCGACGGTCTCACCGCGGCCGGGGAACGGGGCGGAGACGAACACCGTCGAGGCGTCAATGGAAACTCGCTCATCGGTTCGTCACCGTGTGGAGGAGGGGAGGGGGGCGGGGGCGGGCACAACGAGCGGGATTGTTCAAGACAGCCGGACTTCGAGAGAGAAAGAGAGAGAGACGAGCGTTCAGTCACGTAGAGTCGTTTCCCTCGCTCCCAGCGACCGTTGGGCAAAGTCCCCAACAACGAGCCTCTCTCCCAGCTGCTCCGCGCTCCGCTCGAACGCAATGACCTCGAGCGCACGCACGCACGGCGCAAGCACAAAGAACCATGACGACCGGTCGACGGGTCCCCGCCGCCCAATCGGCGGCGGTCGGGGGCGGCGTTCGTCTCCGTCGGCGTTTTCGAGCCGTCTGCGGGAATTCCACAGTAATTGGGCCACGGACCAGTCTCTCTAACCACTTATTGACTCCCCCCCCGTCAAAGAAACAGTCAGTCTCTTCTCTGCCCCGGAGAGACGACGACGACGACGATCGTGTGAGTTGACTTCTGGCCACAATTCGAAGCCCTAGCAACAATCGCCATCTCACTCCCTCAACGGCGGCGGCGGCGGCGGCGTCCTTTGCCTCCCCGGCGTAGATCAGAGCGCCGGCGACGACCGCCAACAGGGCCCAGCTGCGGTCGACGCTCGCCGCAGCCAGCGTCGAACTGCAAGACGCCCCCCTCCACGTGTCGGCAGCCCGGCGGCACGTGGAGGCCCCCGACAACGCGTGTGACCCACGCCCAGCGATGACGCAACCGCAGCGACGCGGGAGTCCGAACCGGGCCGCGGCGAGAGAAGCTCACGGTCGGCTTGTCCGACGGACGAGCGAGGAAACGCGATTTTCAAGAGTGGGGAAAGAAACCAGAAACTGAACGTGGGTGCCAGTCGTGAGCTGAAGGGGGACTGCAGCGGCTGCGGGGTTGTAGATGCGGTCTACAAGTGCCAGTCACGTGCGTGCGTGTGTGCGCGCGTGTGTGAGGTAGGGCCCCGACCCAGTGGGTTCCAGTGGGTTCGTGGAGTTCCCAGGGCAAATTGCCCCTTCTGCATCCCCGCTCCCCCCCCCCCCCTAGGAGCAATCTCGCCCCCGATTGGCCGCGTTGAGTACCGTGTAAAAGTCGTTCGCGTTTGTTTGTCCAGTCCGAGCGTGGCCAGAAACGTGCGCCTTACTTCGCTTCGACATCAGTAACGATGCTACTCCACCGTGATGGAGAGATATATGTGTGTGTCGAGGCGAGTTGGCGTGAGTCGCTGTGACATTTGACCTTACATGCTGTTTAAAACAGGTACGAGGATTATTTTCATCACCAGCATTACAGTACATATCTCTTTTGGTCAGTCTCATATAAATATACGATAGTTTCCATGTGTGTGTGTATATATATATACAACTTAAAAGTGTGTGTGTGTATGGTGCGGTACGAATTTCATGTCTGTTCGAGCGTTAGTCCATAGATTTTAATTCTACTTTACAAGAGTATTTTCTTCTGTTAAATGTAACTTTAAATCACAGTAATCCCTAATGTACGCTGCATAAGGATCGTCAAGATCAAACTGTACGATCAATATTCACAACCCGAGCATCGGTCCGCTGCCGGATGAAGCCCTCCTCATGCCGTGGTCGGTCACGGGGGACTATGTGACCATACTTCACCACACGGGACCGGCTCAGATATTATCTGGTGCCGATCTCCTCCACGGCTGGGAATCAAACTCGGGTCCGCCGAGCCCATGACGCAGCTCGCACGCTGCTGCCTCCAAGCAGCGGCGGCTCGATGGAGAGTTTTAAATTACCCCTACCAACTACCATTATTGCATCAAATATTTGGCAACGCAGAAGGTAGATAATTTACCTTAAATGGGTTTGACTATGAAATCAAATGGTTGAATAAAAACGCCGATCCACGACTACGTCGTAAGATTAAAGTGTACTCCGTCGGCAGCCCAGAAGAAGCGGAATGTTTACTCGGGTAGACGAAAAAAAGGGGGCCTTAAGATGCCAACATTTTTTTTCTTGGAACGGCATTTGCGTACGTTCACGCGGGTACGTTTTGAAACCGGTACCCCTGTTGTTGTTGTTTTTGTAACGTTCAGTTTGTTTTAACGTTTGCCGTTTTTAACCTTCCCCGCGAAAAGCGTCTTTTGTATAAATTGTGTTTTTTCTCAGTATTAATGTTGGCTACGTGACAGCGCAGATACGCCGCCACTTGCTAGGGCGAGGGGTCCGCTTGGCTCGCAAGAGCGGATCGCCAGCGGCGGTGGATATCAAATAAAGATAAAGTAAAAGCACTTGTAATTTCATTAGCTTCACCGGGTAGAATCTCGCACGGACGATGGGACTTTTGTTACAAAGTTAAACATGGAATTAAGCACAACCGTGAGAGAGACGAATGGATTTGGGAAACCGATGCATTTGTGCAAAGTGATATCAATGTATTGTACCGAGATTCTTCTATACTAGCTTGTTTAATCAAATGTTTTGTAGCCAGTTTGTAACGGGAGATCGCAAGGGATACGCACCAGCGCACTGCTATCACTCAGTGAGCACGCGTCATGACAACCAATTACACAATATCGCAGTAGCCACTTAAAATAGGGTTACAGCCACTTTAAGAAAAAAAATCTATATTTTTTTGTAATTACAACTGACCCTTCCCGTAGAAGGCACCGCCACTATAGCGAACCCATTAATCTCGGCGCGCGACGGCACGGAGATTCGTCTATTCCGGGGCGGCCGCCAACTGCGTGCGCGGTCAACCACTCGAGGCGATCGCGTTGACCGCCGCGCATGCGACCTCCTGACCCACGTGTGCGGTGAAGAAGCGGGGCCACTTGCACAACCCCCCGACGACCACTCCTCCCCGCCGCGCATCCGCGCGTTGTTGTTGTTGTTGTTTTCCCTTCGTCGTCGTCTTCTTCTTCTTCTTCCGATCGAGTTGACGCGACGTGGAGCCGCGCCGATTGCTGTGAAAAACTAAAAAAAAATATCAACGAACCTCGATTTTATGTTTTTAAATGTTTTTTAAATTGCCAGGAAATTATTGGAAACTGAACTGTGAGATTTGCACACGCTCTCGAGTCGGGAGGGTCCACCACTATTTTTAAAAGTGTTTGTCAGCGACTAAATTCTTCCCAAACATCGGTGCCAGGAATTCCAGCAAGGCTGCACTACCGATGATCGCCAATAGGTGGGGGGTGGGAGGGGGGGGTAAACCGGTGTACAATAGCGCAGTGTCGCGAGTGTGAGCTTTTTTTAGTTATCTGCGAATCACGCAACTCCTTCCACACACGCCGAACTCCATCACCGTCCACTCGACTTCACCGACAAATGCGATGCCTGCCACGAACGCTACGTCCCCCCCCCCTCCTCCCCTTTCGCACGCAAGCCCCCCCCCCCCCGCTTGTCCAACAACTTCTTCCCCCTCCCCAAGTTCCCTCCTCACCTAACGCCCGGTGCAATCTCACCGCCTGCACACCACCGAGTTGACGCATTAGTTGGGGGGGGTGGCACGTGGGTGGCACGTGGGTGGCACGTGGGTGGCACGTGGGTGGCACGTGGGTGGCACGAGGGTGGCACGAGGGTGGCACGAGGGTGGCACGAGGGTGGCACGAGGGTGGCACGTGGGTGGCATCGCACGGGGCGACTGGCACGGCTCAGCGCGCCGTTCCAGCGGCTGGGAAGGGGCGCGGGAGTCGGCGTCCCGGGGCCGCACGGGACCGGGGCCCGTCGCGTTGTGCCGAAAGCGACGGGCCACGTGAGGACGGCGGTAATTGATGCCTCGGGAGTGGAGGCGGGGGAGGGAGGGGTGGGGGAACTGTGCACATATCAGCGTGAGACTTCGGGGCGTGTTCATTGTTTACCGAACGCTTTTCACTGCCACGTCCGTTGTGTGTGCGTGCGTTTTTTTTTTGTCGCGCGCGTGTCAGTATCACGCAGCGGCTGCGTCGACAGGCCGTGCGTGTATCGGTGTTCGTGGACGTGCGTGGGTTCCGCTGGGATACTTCCCAGGCACGGATTCTTCACGTTCACCAAATTTTCTTCCCGCTCGAAGACAAAGGCCCGTCTTTCACAGACCGCACGGGTCCGATGATTGCGAAACCATGTCCCGCGTCACGCGTCACGCGGTGGTGGGGGGGGGGGGGCACGTATAGCCATCATCAGGCTCGTGCAGTGCGACCGCCTAGTTTTCACGCGAGCGGGAAAAAAATTTGGTGCATGCAGGAGGGCTGTGAGAAATGGATTTTCGCGGACCCGAGGTTGTGCTACGAACAGTTCGTTACGGGAGAGCAAGAGTCTGTCGGCGTCTTGCGTTGAATTCTATATTTTTCTATGCCGTGTTTAAGTCTGTACGTTTAAGTAGCTCGCTATTCTGATGCTGTGCTTCGTACGTTACATCCGACCCTAGCCTGCGCGCAACAGTATGTTATGCACGCGTACACGTGCCGCTACACGCCTACATGCATACATTCATACGCGCGTACAGATGTGTCCATATTTGTTTTATATATATATTAACACACATTAAATGCGTATCTATATATAGGAGTAAATACACGCATGCATAAGCAAATAAAAAAATAGATAACCTACGCATCCGTGTCATTAACTGGGTAGGGCATCACATTCGGTAATGTATTTTTCCTAAGTACGCATCGGGCTTACTTGAACATCAGTATCAGAATTGCAATTTCTTCCTGGTTGATAATAAGTCTCCCAAGTGGCGATGTTTACACATTGCAGCAGGTACTCATTTGAGGCCGAGTCGACCTAGTGGAGTCCCAGGACCACTTCCAATATCCGTCACCGACGTTGGCCGTGAGCGGGAATCGAACTCGTGAAACCGTAAATCGTAACACAGCGCGTGACCCAAGGCACTACCGCTCCCTGCGTGCAAGTATGATACATACACACATACACACAAATTTTAACGCAAGCGATTGATAATGCTGTTCAATTGTCCCGCAGAAAAATCGCGCGCAGCTGGGCAATTGGTACGGACAAAATTGTGAGTTTAACGTGAAATCTCCACGCAGGGACAGGGAGGTGTCCGTGAGCGGCAGTACAGCAAGTGGGATGATGACTGCACTCCACGCGGGGGTTGTTCCTCCCAGGCCACTCGGGTCTCCTCCCGGAAGCAACGCACAGCGGACTGCTCTCGTTGCCGAGTCGGCAGCGAGGGCAAACATAAATTCCTTCAGGCCACGACCACGCGGTGCGTGAAATTGAAATCAACGAGTCTTCAGACTCTCCGAGGCTTCCCTGGGTAAAATGTATAAAATTATGTTAATTATTCTTTGTGCCTTTCGGTAAAGTCACGTAGACGGTTGAAAGAAAATAACAAAACAAAAAAAAGACGTTACGACGTTTCGATCACGTCAGGAGGCAAGAAAGACCCAAAGAATACGAATTCTCTGCAGACGCCAAAGCTTTAAGTCAAGATTATGTTAACAACACACGGCCTTGAAACACGTGTGAGCAGTGTGGCTCAATATCAACATATATATACATAGAAGACCATCGCACGCCGCTTATCGCCGTTGTGCTGCGTTATCGGGCCACGCCGCCCTTCGCGACGGAGTCCCCGACGTTTCGCGCCACGATTTCCGTCGCAGCCTTTCCGCATTCCGATCTTCGCACGCCGCTGCGGGGCCGACGGAACGCCGGGGGACGCTCGCGCCGGACGTCGGCACTCGGAAACGACTCGAAAACGCCGCCGGTGTTACGCGTCGCCTTAAACCGCGTATCTCCGATGTGTCGCCGCAAAGCAAAAAAAAAAAGGGGAAGCGCGTTTGAAATATTATTCCGAAGCGCACGGAGCGCTTGACCACCACCGTCACGGTGGTGGTCAAGCGAGGGGACAGCCGCTTGCGTTTTTCTTTTCGCTTCTCATTTGTATTTTTTGGTTTGTTTTACTTTCGCAAGAATGTATCGTCACCGTGTCGATCCCACCGCTGTGATGTACGTTGCGGACGGTCACGTGGGCCGGTGGAAGAATGCTCTCGCTGTTACTTTATCCGAAAATACATAAAGCATTACAACAAGAAACACAAAAAAACCACACACAGGCACCCCCCCTTTGTCGTTCGCTCTTTTGAATTTTTATTAAACGCGGCACTTCGCCCCGTCCCGCTCGTCAACTCCGGCGCTGCACGAGGGCCTCAACCGCCCCGTATTGGTCGCGGAGGTAAATTAACCAAACTGCACCACGCCGGCCGACACGTGCGAGTGAAGGCGAGGAGCATCGTAGACATGGGGGAGGCGTTATGGAAGTACAGGACAACACAATGCATCGCATCGCACTGCCACCCTGCTGCTTTGTAGCAGAGTTAGTAATAACCAGTGTCACACGTCCGCTCACCCATCCAAGCTCAATGATGCACGCATGCTTCCAAGATCTGACTAATATATGGGGTGCGCATTCCAGGTACAGAACTTTGGCAATAGGCTTATTTCCGGATGAAACTGAAGTTAAGAAACACAAATTGAGATCGCCGGGACATTCGTGTTCAAATCCGACAGTTGACGTCCCGTGCCAAAAGTTTCCTCAGATCAAAACGAGCGGTGGGCAACACCTATTTCAAACTGTTTACACGATTTAAACAATTGTTTTATTTTGCCAGGTAAGGCCCACTGAGCTATATAGCTCTTTTTCAGAAGCGATCTGATCACCACAAATGATAGCTCAACAAAGTGGCTTATGTGGAAATTGATTGAAGCCAAATATTCTAAACGCACGTTAATTCAAAATGTGGAGGGGGGAGGAAAATCTACACGCCTACGGGGTGAGAGAGAGAGACACGCAAACTCCAAATATACAGGTGTCAGTTGGGATCAAACCCACAACCTCCTGCGTACCAGGCGAGGTAGTTAACATCTCCTAGCCACCGTGACGCACCTCCAGCCAGGTGGCTCTGCGGTGGAGCGAGCAGCTCGCGTTCGGAAAAGTCGCGAGATTCAAATCCTGGTCGGCGGTTGCCTCAGCCCATCATCCTTCCGGGATTGATAAAAACGAGTCCAACTTTGCGGGGAAGTCTACAGTGGTTGTCGTCCTATGGAGAAACTCGCCCCCTGACAAAGAATTTCCCCGACCGACTCAAGGCTGCAGGCGAGAGAAATGATCACCACCACAATGCTCGCCCTTCACCCAGCCATGTAAAATTCCACATCACGTGTGGCGTTTTTCCCCCCAGGTTTTCTGGTTGTTCCCCCCACACGTAGCCATTTAAAGCACGAACCAACGGTTTCAAGCTGAACTTATTTTTTTGTAATGTCTTCAGACTCATTAGTGAAGATCTCTTTAAAAAAAATTACTGAATTATTACAGTACTACAAACATGCCGACATCAGATCTAGGCAGCTAAGCAACGTTGAGCCTGGACAGTCCTTGGATGGGTGACCGCCCCCCCCCCCCCCCCCGTGCACACACGGGTTTGCAATAAGGCCTTCGGGGCGCAACGTGACGGTGGACAGCAGACGACTGCGCAGCAAAAACCGTTGTACTCTACTTCTGCGCTCCCGCGATCCTGTTCTCCACGCCTTCATCCTCCCCGGACCGACCAGCGCGGTGAAGCACGGTCAAAATAACCCGCAGGTTGGGGCGCCCAACCTGCACGGAGTGTGGGCCAGGGCCCTCGCCCGGCGGCGGATCGACAACAAACAAAAAAAGACCGTTGCGTGCGCGCGTCGCGAATACAAGCCCGGGGCCACGGCGTTTCGGTCAAGCGACGCGACGTTCACAATTCAAGACGAGAGCCCGCGCGTTTAATAGAGCACGCCGTCGCGTGTCGCGCACACGCGACGGCTGGTTCACTTTTGCGTTTCGCAAAATAAACGCCCCGCTATCGGGTTCCGAGCGCGCGCGGGTTTGCGCAGAGAGCCACGCCGCTTCGCGCTTCACAGCATTCGGAAGCGTGCCCCACCGTCTTTGCGGCCGGTCAACGGCTTTGCGGTCAACCTTTCGACTTTGTGGCTCTAGCAAAAAAGGAACGCCCGCGGAGCCCCCAGAGCGGCTCATCCCAACGGGCCCCACCGCAGCTTGGAACGGAGCGAGGGTGTCCGCTTTTAAAATAATAAAACGAAAACAAAACAAACAAAGACGACGACGCCGAAACGCACGCAATTCAGCTTCAAAAAATTCCCGCCACGCAGACACGCAGAAACCCTGGGGGACCGTTTCCGTCGACGCGCTTGACAGCAAAGCAAAAAGAAGTTTCAAATTAAAAATTTAACGGCATTGGCGACGCCGCTGGCCAGCGACTGCCAACCCCGGCGGGGGGCCGTCGCCGGGGTCACCGGGGTTCGTCGCCGGGGTCACCGGGGTTCTTCGCCGGGGTCGGCGTCCGAACCTGCGCCGCGACGCCCGCTCACTTGTACGTCTTCATGTGCCACAGTCCGTCGTTCAAGTAGTGCACGTTCTCGATGCCGATCCCCTTGTTGATCTTCACGCTGCGGGACGACAAATCGGGAGAGCTGCCGTCGGCCTCGATCGCCTTCCCCGCTTTGGCGTGCCTCCCGCGAGCCCGCGCGCAAGGCGCCCATTTTCCCCGAGGGCCGCTCTCCCTCCCGTGGTCCCTTGCGCCACGACCACGCTTACGTCACTCAAGCCACCGCACAGAGTACAGCATTGACACGTGCGGGATTTTCACGCGAATTTCCACACTCTCGTACACGGCAAGCGCAAAGTGCTCGAGTTTTTGGGTTTGCCACTTCCCGTTTTCATTTTAAACATCGTCCTTAAACTTTAATCGCCCCCATCACGCTAAGCGGGTGGGAAATTCGCGGTGGCTCCGCCCAATGGTGGACGAGGTTTTTTTTGTTCTACCCAAACCCACTGGCACGGAAGCCGTTGCTATGGTAATTCTCATGCCAGAAATCTGAACGAGAGACCAGACTGGAGAAACGGCACTCGGCGCACATCTATAACCGCATCATCGCCACCGCCATGGCTTGTGTGGCATTAAACTCCATTAATCGATTCCTCCTCCCGTGCTCGGGACTCAATCTGCCAGGCTGACCATTAACGTCTCATCCACGCTGTTCAACCACCGACACTCTGCAGGTCGCAACAACTTCCCTTTCCGCTCTGTTCCTCGCACTGCTCGACTTTGGAATTCCCTCCAATTGTCAATTTCCCCCCCCCCCCCCACCAAGGTCTAAGAACTGAAGTTAAGCTATGTGGCTCTTTTCAAGAAGCGAACTGGCCACATATGATGGCTCAACGAAGTGGCTTATCATGTCGAAATTGATAGCAGCCAAAACAAACTAGCAAAAATCTACAGGCAACAGGGTCGGGAATCGAACCCACGACCGCCTGCACACCGCGCGGGGGAGTTAACATCTCGCCACCGCTGTGCCTCTGCACCAGGGGCCATGCCAACCGCGCTGCGCCGCTCACTGGCCGTTTCCCTGATGCGCTCATCCGGCGGGAGTGGTCTGCGAACGTGACGGAGCGACTCACATGTCATCGGCAGACATCTTCATGATGCCCACGCTGAGCGCGTGCTGTTTGCCTTCCGCCATGATGGCCTGCAAGGGGCTGCAGTCAAGGGAGACACGGCGCCGTGGTGCCATACATTCAAGCCTCCACAGCTACGTTTTGCAAGTTCCTTCTAGTGGTGGAAATGGGAGCGATAAAATCAGCTCGTGTGCCCTGCAGTGGATAGGTCATGGCCGATGTTCTGTTGAAAATGACCCGAGTTGCCGAATACGTGACGGGGTAGGCCAGTTGGAAAAATGCGTTTTCTGCTGGGGTAAGTTTTGATTAATGTTTTTCTTCCCATCACATTGAGCCCCATTTGTCACTCAACTACGCCATTAAGGCCTCCCAATTACATATTGGGGGATGTTTGACCATACTTCACCACACTGGTAAGTGCAGCTTAATAACAGTGATGGGGGGGGGGGGGGGGGGGCGGCGGCGGCGGCGGGGATGGCGGTTGCCAGGAATGGCTCGGACATCATTCACTCGACACCGACATTCGCCGTGACCGGGAGTCAAAACTCGGGGTGCTGACGTTCGCAGCGCTAAGCTCTCTGCGGCGCTCAGGATACGACGATGGTCTCCTTGTCGGCGGAGCGGAGCTTGGCCCCCGGCGACGTCAGGCCCGGGCACATGATGTTGGCGCCGCTCAGCACGAACCGGATGGCGCCCTTGTCCACCTGCTGGTGCGGCAGGATGGTCGGGTCTGCGGGAGTCGGGGATCGCGGGAAACGCACGCACACCGCCCACGCGCTCGTCACACACGCGCGCGCCCGTCCCGAGGGGCGACTGATGTTGGGTGGGGTTTTTAGCGGGCAGTGTGCCAACCACTGCGCCGTCGCTCCACGTCAGCCGAAACGACGGATTAATAAATGAACACCATTGGTGACGTCGTAAGGGAGCATGAAGCATCACGCAAACTCCGGTCATCCTCGCAGCGGCGACTTTCGGCGAGCCATTGAACAAAGATGTGCTTCGGCGGCCGTCTGGAACGCTCTTCCATTCAATATCAGGAACACACTAGATTGAAAACGAATTTCTTTAGAACTGTCTTTTGTGTTCAGTTGGTTGTCCTTCACCCACACCTCCGATTAGCACGGTTGGCTACGTACGGTGCAACGAAAAGATCAACATATACGTACAAAGACAAACAGCCTTAAAAAACTGTCGGGGCAAGCGCTGTTAGCGAGCACCTATGAAGGCCGGCACGGCACACGAGGGTGTGGGTGGCCAGCACCACGCTCGGACTGCCTTTGTCTCCCCAGTGGCGATGTTTACACACTGCACCAGGTACTCATATGAGGCCAAGTCAACCTAGGGGAGGCCCAAGACTGGTTCAGATAATCATAAGTGGTGTTGGCCATAGAGTGGCAATCGAACCCCGGTTGCTGGGTTCATAGCGCAGTGCGGTAACCGAGATACTACCGCTCCCCACACACACACGCAACGACCGAGGCTGCAGATCTTCACTGCCACGGCAGCCAATACCACCACCGCGGCCTCGTGGTCTGCATCCTGAGGGCCGTCTGGACGAGTTCCCGTGGGGACCGCTACGCCCCCAAGGGTTCTTATGGCGCAATGGTATCAGGAAGGAAGGCACGGCTGTGTGTCTTCGCAGACGAGGTGTAGTTTATATTCTTGGTTCTTTCGGTAAAGTCACCACGTAGAAGGGAAACAATAAAATAATAAAAAATATACAACACAAGCAATCATCATCAGGTGTGCTCACACCTGATGATGATTGCTTGTGTTGCAGTCGAAACTTCGTGAGAATTTTATTGTTTTATGTTCTTATTATTTTTATTATTTTATTGTTTCCCTTCTACGTGGTGACTTTACCGAAAGGACCAAGAATATGAATCCCTGCAGTCACGAAAGCTTTAAATCAAAATTTAATGTGTAATTTCACAGCAGGGATATTGCTTCGCATGATCTCCATTTGAGCAATTTGCGGTTCGTTTTTAAAAATTTGTACCGTCCGACGTCGGCACACGACGGCCTACTGCTTGCTTTTTTTTTTTCAAACGACATCGCGGGATCTTCAACGACACCGGCGGTAATAACCCCAAAGGCTGTCAGCCAGATTCGAACCACAACCCTGTGCAACAAAGCGACGGACGCGCTACCGCTGGGCCGCGTCTTCCTAGCAATGAGCGTGAGGCACAAGGTCTCGCTGTGCACGTAAATAATAGCCTGGCCTCCACACCCTCCGCCCCCTCCCCCATTGCTTACATTTGTGTAGGAGCCGCAGGGTTGGGAAGAGGGGCCCATCCCTCTGCTTGAAGAAGAGCAGCTCTCCGTTCACTGTGAGGATCTCAATGTGCTCGTGGCTGCAACGACAAAAGACAGCGGAGATAAACAAAAAACACGCCCGTATGTATGTTATGCTGAACTTCTTTCGCACCGTACGTAGCCAACTGCGATGACCGGAGGTGCTTTGCAGAGTCATGCGGACAAAGTCTGCTCTGCGATGACGTCGTCGTTTAATTTTTTTCACAACTTCCTTGTTCAGCACAAACGCTATGAGCGTCGCCCCATTTACCGCCTGTTTTTGCCGGAGGGCGGCTGCTTGGCGTGGAACAATCCATCACCTCCCGGTCACGGTTAATGCCGGTACCATGCCGATCTCGCCAAGGAGCATAAACCATCACACAAACTGGGCTCATCCTCGAAGCAGAGGCTTTTGGCTGGCCATCGTACAAAGACGATCGCTGCATCGCGCGCTTTCAGATGCGCTTTTCCGGCCCTCTGGAACGCTCTTTTTTTCCGATATTAGGAAGACACTGGAGCTAATGCACTTTTAAATTGACGATTGAAAACTGATTTCTTTAGAACTGCTTTTTCTGTTTAGTGTGTTGTCCTTCCCCCGCACCTCTGATTATCACGGTTGGCTACGTATGGTGCGAAAAAAGTTCAACATACATACATTTAAAATTATTGCTCTCAAAATAATACATTGATTATAAGGTGCGCATGAGAATCAATCATTCACGAATTATTACAGTATAGAAATTTTATCTAAATTCATGGAATTCATGAGATAATAATTATAATTCTATTCATAAAGTGTCTTTCATCAAGGATCTCAAAGTGCTGTACAACACGCATTCCAATAAGTCATCTATATATATAAAAGGGAAATTTGTGAATTTGTGTCTGTTCAAAATGTTTAGCATACTTCCCAACATGCAACAAACTTGAAATTTGGCATGTGGGTAGCTTCCAGACTGTACACAATGCAAAACGTATAAAAATACACTTTTGTATTTTGGGGGAGGGCGCGGGGGGCGCAATAATGGATGTAATATTTAGCACGGCAAGTGAGCGGTGACGTCACATCTGTGATGTCACCCACATGCTACCAGCATCACGCAGTGTGCCTGCTGACGTCACGCATCCCCCCCCCAACCCCCCACGTAGGCCGTGTATTAATCCAAGACAGGAATCCAAGTCCCGGGCGAAGCCGGGTAGTAAAGCTCATAAAGTATAATACTAAGAAGCAGCACAATAATAAAATAAATAAGAATAAAAACTTTTTGCTGAATTAGCTAAAAGCTGAATCAACGGAAGTGTATAAATTCGTTTTTTTTTAAGTCTTAAGAATGTCCACAGGCTGAGAGGCGCTGACATCTTGTGGGAGAGAGTTCTAGAGTGTGGGGGCTGCATGGATATACCACAAGCAAGCACGAACAAGATAGAAGAATATGAATGTCTACACCTAGCACAGCTACCACCAGTTTCATGGAAGCTTTGTTTCACCATCCTCCTCCAGAGGCCGGTCCTGACGCAACATCAGTAACAGTTCAGCCCATTGCTGTAGAATTTTCCCCAATGCTTTGCTTTCCGTGTTCTCAGTATTCTATAGGAGTCTGCGGAATGCTAGACACATGCCAAACGTTTGCTTTAAAATACAGAGGGGAGAAAAAGTGGGTCATGTGATCTGGAGAAGACGATATTACTGTTGTGTTTCTTAAATGTTTATCTCACAGCAATAAAAAGCCACACAACCACAGATTTTTTTTTAGCAACAAGCATATCTTTGAGGACAAAATAAACATTCAAGAAATAATCCTACACCGAAGTTGGTGAAGCCAAGCTGACCGCAAGTTCGTTTTTCAGAAGCCGAAGCTCAATTCTCCAACTTGTGATAGGTTTTGGAAGAGTTCGAATTGGCGAGTAATCCCAAAAATTACTGTAAATTTTACAATTATTTTCCAGCGTTAGTGTCAATTAAGCAACAATATTTGTAAGTAATTAGTATTTTTGGATATTAAAGTAATTGTTCTATACATAATGAGTTTCAATTTTTGTCTCCAGAAATGTGTAGTTTGGTGTGTTTCTTGTACTTGCTGTAAGATCCGATTCTAGCATGAGAGTCAAAACATGAAACCGTGCCTTGATTCAAAGCCGAATATCACATGTTCTGAAAACATCCATCCAAAATCTAAATATTCATATTCTTGGTTCGTTCGGTAAAGTCACGTAGATAGAAAATAAAAATAACAAATTAAAATAAAAAAATCAAATAGAAGCAAATAAAACACGACGTTTCGATCGCACACACAAGCGACCTTTTTTTTAATCTCCGCCTGATGAAGACCGCTTGTGTTGCGATCGAAACGTCGTGGGGTTTTTGCTTTGATTTTTATATAAAAACATTTATTTTAGTATTTTTATTTTCTATCTACGTGACTTTCCCGAAAGAACCAGGAAAAATGAATTCCTGCAGTCACGAAAGTTTTAAGTCTAAATATTAAACTTTGTAGAAGCCATTTCACGCATTCAGTTTTAGCTTTCCCCAAGTTACATTTTCATTCAGGTATTTGTTTAAATATATTTTACGTTTCTATGAAAAAAAATGCTTCGGTTGAGTTGCGTCAAAACTCATTCAACCTACAAGACAAAGTAAAATCTTACCCGTGCGCGAACAAGCATCTCTCTGAGCCAATGGGGTCAATTCCGGACATTCTCGCAGCGGCGGCTTTTGGCTAACCACCGAACAAATACGATCGCTGGCGCCGCGCGTTTTCAAGCACTTTCTGCGGCCGTTGAACGCTGCTCTTCCCCGCCGATAAAGTTGCGCTTTTAAATCTGTGTTGAAAACTCATTTCTTCGTGCTTACTTTGTTATCCTTCCGCAATACAGATGCTTAACATATACACAATTCAAACATGCCACGATTAGGGTTCGCGTCTTTCCAAAAGAATGACATATGTTTACTTCTGGCATAGTGGTAGCGACTGACACTGCCTGGCCAAAAAGGTCACAGTTTGGAGGCAAAAAATAGTGACGAACAGCCAGGGGGATTGCTTGAGCAGAGCTTACCACTTGACAATCTTAAATGGGTCCTTCTTGGGCAGGATCTGGTTGAGGTAGGGCTCGATGGCGGGGTACTGGTCCAGCAGCTGATTCCGGATCGACTTGATCACCGATGTCTTGAGCTGCATACATGTAGACACACTCTCCTTCTCCTCAAACCTATGCACGTACACACACACACACAAAGACAAATTGCCCGTACAGATTTTAATAGATTGCTGGGGGGGGGCCATGTGCTGCTCACAAGTAGCACCTATCAAGGCCGGTACAGCACACGAGGTGGGTGGGCAGCACCACGGCCAACCACCTTTATCTCCCTATCGGCACTGTTTACACATTGGACCAGGTACTCATTTGAGGCTGAGTCGACCTAGGGGAGGCCCGGGACCGGTTCAGATAATCGTCACTGGTGTTGGCCGTGAGCGGGAATCGAACTCGTGTCGCCGGGTTCATACCTCACATGCTGGGGTTGTGAGGTTGGCCATGAGCAGTACACGGTCAAGTGGGTTTGTGGAATTACTACATCTGTTTGTGACATTGTAATCCCCTCCCTCGTACGTGCGAGTATTCTCTGGACATCCTGGTTTCCTCGCAAACAAAACAAAAAAAACCTACTTATGTAAATTAAACGGTCAAACATTCCAATTTCAGGACCCTCGTAGAAAACTATTGAGACTTCGAGTATCTCGTGGATAAATAAAGGACGTCATTATAAAGACGACTGATGGCATGTCTTATGCTATATTTAAACAATACGTTGGTGCATTTGTGTATTCCAACTGCTCTATTCTGTCGCTACTGATGCAATCTAATACGCATCATGTAGGCACAAGGAAAACGCGTTGAAAATTCAACTCTGATCGTTATATTTAAGAAACTTTGACGACGTTCGTTCATCGAGAGAAAGCCTCGCCGAGTCTAAAGACTCGTTTTCAGGAGGGTCCTGCTTTGGGATGTTTGACCAATTCCCTTTAAGGGGCGACGGTGGTGTTTGATGAAGAACAACAATGAACCCATGAAGATAATGATTCATTGACGATTATGGTGATATGCATATCTGTACAGATAACAAAAATGGCTAAAGGTTAACTACCTCGCCTGGTATACAGGAAGTCGTGGGTTCGATCATGACCCTGACGCTTGTATTCAGTATTTGGATTTTACACGTCGCTTTCCCCGTGGTCGCGTGGATTTTTCTCCGGGTCCTCCGGTTTTCCCCTCCACATTTAGAATCAACATCACGCGTTTAGAGTATTTGGCTGCCATAAATTTCAACGTGATAAGCCACTTCGTTGAGCTACCATTTGTGTGGCCAGTTGGCTTCTGAAAAAGAGCGCTAGATAGCTCAGCGGGCCTTACCTGGTCAAATAAAAAAAAACATGTTTAGTTTAGATTCTTGGCTCTTTCGGTAAAGTCACGTTGAAGGGTAAACAATAAAATAATAAAATATATATAATAAAATATATAAGAGCTAAGAATATGAATTACTGCAGTCACGAAAGCTTTAAATCAAAATGTTTAGTTTAGTTGAACTAGCCACTGCAAATGATGCGTTATTTGCTTGATTAGTTTAACATGTTGATGAGAAGCGACGGCTTTGTAAGCAGGTGGGGAAGGTGGATCATTACAGATCGTGATATAGCGGCAGCGTGGAGGAGGCCTTTATCCAGCAGTGGCGATTCATGAATCATTGGCCTTTGCCTTAATAGGCGCTCGCTGACAACTCCAACCCTGACTGTTCAAGAGGACAAACGGGAGAATAATGCATCTTAATTATATATCTATGAATGAGTTTAAGGATTATTTATAGTAGTTAAACGTTGTGTAAAAAGTGGCAATTAACTCACTATGCAGTACTGCATGAACGTCTCACAGCCGAACACAAACACGTATAAATCATACTATCACGCTTCTGGGCGCCGTCATATATTTAAACATCGTTTTCAACATCGAAGCATTCACTAATCGCACTTTTAAAGTTAATACATATACAAGTGCATCACAATTGCCGATGAGAACACGTGTCGAGGAGGGTCGGCCCCAGGAGGCCCACGCGAGACACCGACCCTCGGATAGAATCCCTGCCGGGGAAGGCGCAACATCCCGGCGGAAGGCCACTATCCCAGCCCGGCGACTCCTACACTCTTCCCTTTTAAAAAAAAAAGACAAGTGACGTCTCGAGCGACGCGTGTTTTGTTTCCCTTACTTCTTGAACATGACTCCGCCGCTCCTGGCGCTCCAGGGCGTGAGGAGGTGGCGTGAAGAGGCGGCGGACGAGGCGGGTAACGCGAGAGAGGAGGAGCGGGAGGGCCTCGGCGCTAGGGGTGCGTTCGGAATCGGCAAATCACGAGGCAGTTTCTGTCCAATGCGGACCGTGCTGAGTGGATGGTGGGGGGGAGTCTTCCCACAGAGTTCTATTGGAAGGCAAAGGCGCAGCCCTGCAACTGCGGACCGTGCTGAGTGCATGGGGGTGGGGGGGAGTCTTCCCACAGAGTTCTATTGGAAGTCAAAGGCGCAGCTCTGCAACTGCGGACCGTGCTGAGTGGATGGTGGGGGGGAGTCTTCCCATAGAGTTATATTGGAAGGCAAAGGCGCAGCACTGCAACTGCGGACCGTGCTGAGTGGATGGGGGGGGGAGTCTTCCCATAGAGTTCTATTGGAAGTCAAAGGCGCAGCCCTGCAACTGCGGACCGTGCTGAGTGTATGGGGGGGGGGGGGGGGGAGTCTTCCCATAGAATTCTATTGGAAGGCAAAGGCGCAGCCCTGCAACTGCGGACCGTGCTGAGTGGATGGGGGGGGGGAGTCTTCCCATAGAGTTCTATTGGAAGTCAAAGGCGCAGCCCTGCAACTGTGGACCGTGCTGAGTGGATGGGGGGGGGGGGGGAGACTTCCCACAGAGTTCTATTGGAAGGCATTTGTGTCATAAGATTGTTTTGCTGTCATCATTTGATTCTCTGCTTTCATTTCCTTAAATCAATAGGGAAGCTCAAGGTTAAAGCATTGAGATTTTTTTTCTTTTTTAAGTCGATGTCATCATTTTTTTAGTCACAAGTGCGTAATAATAATATATTGTTAATTCACACGCTAACGCTCAAGTGATCCGTAGCATCCGACACGACGCAGCTGCGTACATCATTTCATAAATACATAATTTAAAATATACATTTGTAAACCAATAAATGTTGTGGGTTTACTCTTCAACACATCGGTGTGCTGTACTAGTGTAGTAGTCGTGTATGGAGACGGAGTCGTAGTAGGAAGCAACACGTTTTATTTATATCTTGAACAACACTCACTAGGACTTAACATGAAGGGGTAATGGCCCCTTCCACCCACAACCTGTGGAGGTACAGCCTCCGGGCTATCTATCCTAGCCACTGACCTACTCCTATAGCCCTCCGGCTGGCTGGAGCTAAGGAGGCTGACCCACCGCTGGCACCGGTGGGTCTCTGACCACTGACCCGTCCAGACCCGATCCTCAGGACCTCGGGCTGAGGGAACCTCAGGGTCCTAGCCTCTCGACCACTGGCACCGCACTGAGCCCCGGCCCTTAGAAGGCCGTCGGGGCTTGGGGCCCAGGGTCTCGTGTCCAGGTGGCTCCTCGACTTGGGCTTGAGGCGAACTGAGCTCTGCTCTCAGGAGCCCGCCTTTTATACGAATCCCCACCGAGGGGCGGGGTTCTGAGGGCTCACAGATCCCCCACAGCCCCCTCCCCTCAGGAGGGGTTCTGGGCACAGGTAGTCCAATTGATCTGTTCTAGATTTGAAGCTTTCGTGACTGCTAGGATCCATACTCTTTGGTTATATTGGGTAAAGTCACGCAGGTGAAAATAAAATAACAAAAAATCACGACGTTTCGGCCACAACACAAGCGGCCTTCATCAGGTGAAGGGACGAGACTGTCTGTTGTGGCCGAAAACGTCGTGATTTTTTGTTATTTTATTTTTACCTACGTGACTTTACCCAATAGAACCAAAGACAACCGATCTGTGTTTGTTTATCCCGCTTTTTGCCTAGGGGCAGGGTTCTGGGGGATCACACACACACACTCCACAGCCTCCACCCCTCAGGCGGGGTCTTGGTCAGGGTTATCAATGACCCCGCTCTGGTAGGTACTGTGTAGCGTGTGTGTGTTTACAGAGTGACCACCACACTAGTAACGAATTGGCATGATTTGTTTCCGTGACAAACCTTACAAATTGGCTGTGTCGGGTGGTGGCAGATTTAACGACACATTTATATTTACGCGATCTAACCCCCAAAAAAACCTCTATTATGCATAATATTGGTCGCAAAAGCCTACTGACTACGTGTTAAACTGAAGGTTGCTTATTTGGGGTTCCTCTGCAGGCCCCTCCCCTTCCACTTGCAGGCCCCTCCCCTGCTTAAGCCCCTCCCCTGCTTTAGACCCCACCCCTTCCTCTTTTGACTCCTGCTCCTTTCCCTTTAAGTCCTGCGCCTTTCTTGTGCTTGGGTTCCGCCCCCACCCCACCCCCACAATCCTGAAGTGGTAATGATCTTACACGCTGTTGCTCGCGGCGCAGTTACTTCTCAACACCGCGTCACCACTAACACCCACACCCAAATTTAGTATTGTAGAGGTACTTCCTCAAATGCAAAGCGACACTATCAGAAAAAAAACAACAACAGCCGCTTCGCATTCGCCACTGAGTTGCAGCAGAGGGTAAGTCGTTTATTTAGTTTTTTTTGCCGTCTAAAAAACAAAAGATACGTTCATGAATTGTAACAATGTCATACTGAACCGATCTTTTTAACGCCAGTTATGGTTATGAGCTCTTAATGCGCCTTGAGTGATGTCTTTGTGAGAATCTGTCAATGGAACGCGTTTGTAAATATTTGATCGTGAGAGATGTCTTCCTCTCTTCTCATTGAGGATTTACCAAATATGTAGACCTTAATATTATAAATGCGTAGTTTTACTCTCCTTGTTCAAACGAACCCCTAACGGTAACCTACCCTTTAGCCGTGTCCGGGAAGCGAACTCAAGATCTCAGGGCGCGCATCCCGTTATTGTATTTCTCGTCGTTATCTATGACCACGAGTCGCGTCCTCGTCTTAACTCAGATAAATCTCTTTCCGTGAGTACTGATTTGGGCCACACGCTTTCTGAGATGGATCAAGAGAGAGAGAGAGAGAAATCTTTTTTTTAACCCGGTTCATTAATTGCCCCCCGGGTCTCCCGTCCGTTACGCCGTCTGATTAGGCGCCGTTTAATTTGAACGGAGCGTCTATGGAATATCGATCAAACGCGTGCATCCTGGCAAATAATATTCATCCTACTCGTGAGCGAGATAACAATGTACCTCCAATGAGCACGGTGGGCTACGTGCGGTGCGAAAGAAGTTCTACATGCATGCATTGTGTACTTTACACTAATAAGTTGACATAGAGGCGAATGCTTAAAAAAAATACCCGTGCATGATTCTCAGCACGTGTCACGAGGCGTGGTTGTTACAGAGAAGTACAAAACACCGTTTTTTTTTTTAAATGGTAAGTTACTCAACTCGTACGCGTGAAAATAAACGTTGGTTGGAAGAAGTTTAAATGGGGAAAAAATGAAGCGAGGAACAGGTTTGAAAGAGGAAAAAAAACTTTGATTGCAACGGTATCAGTGAACATCATTCAAAGAACGTAATAACGCTTTAATACATAAGAATAAAAAATAGGCCGTAACACCTTCTTACTTGAACATTGTCATATTTATAGCTTGTTTACTTATTACCAAATTCACCTTTTTCCAAAGTTGTATTTTCTAGCGCTGATACCGACTCAAAGCTGTTCATAGGGCACGCAATTTGCGAAATTACTGCAATCGGACTTTGCAGACCCCGTGGCATGATTCACAAGAGTTAGGGAGCTGTGTGCCAGTGCCATAGCGAGCAATCTGAAGAAGAAGAGGAAGAGGAAGAAGAGGAAGAGGAAGAAGAGGAAGAAGAGGAAGAAGAGGAAGAAGGGGAAGAAGAGGAAGAGGAAGAAGAAGGATATCTTTCGACTAAGACAATGCAGATAAAGGTGCTACCCTACAAGTATAGTACAGCACTACAAGTATAGTACACTTTCCCACGCCACTGCCGGCATAGGAAGAGCCACTAGAGGGCGTTCTAGACAGCCCCTCTAGAGTAATTTTTGACCTATTCTTCTACGTTGGAAGAGGTAACAATTGCCCACGGTTTCTCCCACGTGCAACACACACGAACACCTGCCGACCACACGGCTGTCTGTGCTGTATCCCTTTACGGACACTGTTCAGGTGGACAACAAGGCAGGGACAATTGTCTTGGTAGGAACCTCCTGGATACACCAGCAGCCCATAGGGGATTATTGTGTCCGTCCGTCCGTCGTGCATCCAAAAATGGGAGGGGTGGGGCTGGGTGGAGAGGGGAGGGTGGGGAGGGGCTGGGGTGGGGAGGGAGGGTGGGGAGGGGCTGGGTGGGGAGGGTGGGGAGGGGAGGGTGGGGAGGGGAGGGTGGGGGAGGGTGGTGAGGGGCTGGGTGGGGAAGGTGGGGCTGAGTGGGGGGTGGGAGGGGTGGGGCTGGGTGGAGAGGATGGAGAGGGTGGGGAGGGGCTGGGCTGGGTGGGGAAGGGGAGGGTGGGGAGGGGCTGGGTGGGGAGGGAGGGCTGGATGGGGAAGGGAGGGTGGGGAGGGGCTGGGTGGGGAGGGGCTGGGTGGGCAGGGTGGGGAGGGGAGGGTGGGGAGGGGAGGGTGGTGAGGGGGCTGGGTGGGGAAGGTGGGGAGGGGCTGGGTGGGGAGGGGTGGGGCCTGAGTGGGGGGTGGGAGGGGTGGGGCTGGGTGGAGAGGGTGGGGAGGGGCTGGGCTGGGTGGGGAGGGTGGGAAGGGGCTGGGTGGGAAGGGGTGGGGCTGAGTGGGGGGTGGGAGGGGTGTGGGGCTGGGTGGGGGGTGGGGAGGGTGGGGCTGGGTGGGGGGTGGGAGGGGTGGGGCTGGGTGGGGAGGGGCTGGTCACCCCGTGGTGCCCTTATAAAACTCAACGTTTAACCTACTCACGCCGGCTTGTGCCCGCCCTCACAGTCGGGCATATTTGCGGAATACACCACGTGGTGCCGCCGCCGTTGACCCTGGCCATTGACCGAGCAACCCAACGTTCCTACCAGCTCCCTCCGCAGGAATGTGTTGAAACAGCTTGCCGCATTTTTATTTCATTTGTTACAACTGCCGCGCCGCGGAGTTTGGAACTGAACGGGCGAACCTCGGGATCGCAAGTCCAGTCTTGCTGACCGCGGCAGGACCTTGAGCGAATGTTGTTGCGACAACACTCCGATTGTCAACAACGATATTACGCTATACCACATATGCCCAACTAGCAACGTGCCACGTCAAGGGATCGTCAAATATTCCCCGCGTGTAAACGAGAAATGGAAATTCCACGTCCCCATGGCGGGTGTCGGTTAACCCACAGTACACAGCCGGTGACCGGGTGATGAGTTGCAAAGAGCTCAAGCATCCTCATTGGGATCTCCTCATGTGGTTAAATAAAGGACTTTAACCCACGTTATAGTTTATTTTTTTCTTTATTTCATAGTTATAGTTTTATTTTAAATTTTAAAAATATATATTTTATTTTTATTTTCTATCTACGTGACTTTACCGAATAAACCAAGAATATGAATTCCTGCAGTCGCGAAAGTTTTAAGCGACTATATAAATCTTTCTTTAAGCGTCCTCTGGTTTAATTATCAGCTGCTCCACACTCGCCGAGGGTCAGTCGCGAAAGTGCCCTGGTGACCAAAAACATCTCGTCAAGTAAGACAATTACGTAAAAACAATATAGCGGCCGCATTTTATATCTTCACAAATACCTTTGCGTAGCCAGAGTGACACGCTTTCTTTGTTATTCGTGTTTAGTTTTTTATCTGAGCCACCGACCACCACGGCCTCTATCTCCGCCACTGCCAAACGCTCTTCACAGAATTGAAGAGAGACACATTGAATCTTGATTTGAAGCTTTCGTGACTGCAGGAATCAATACTCTTTGGTTCTTTCGGTAAAGTCACGTAGGTAGAAGCATAAAATAAAATAAGAACCAAAGAGTAGAGACACCTTGCTGATCTTGCCGCCAGGCACGGCCGTTTTTTTTCCCTCCACGTTTAGAATAAACGTCACACGTTTAGAGTATTTGGCCGCTATATATTTCCACGTGATGATGATGATAAGCAACTTGGCTGAGCTATAATTTGTGATGGCTGGGTTGCTTTTGAAAAAAAGCCGTGTAGCTCAGTGGGCTTTGGCTGGTAAAATAAAAAATATACAGTTCAGTTTCAGTTTAACACCGCTGCCACCAGATGAGCTTCAGCGGCCCCCTGGAACACTTGCACAGAGATCCCGCTATTAGAAAGCCACTGGGAGCGATGCGCTTTTAAATAATCCATATTGAATACTAATTTATTTAGAACAAGGCCGTAATTATAATATATATTGGGGGGGGCACATCCCCCCCCCCAATATTAAAATATGCTCAAAATGCCCCCCCCCCAATATATTGCTATAAAAAAATGTCTATGCTATGTAAATAAAAACAACAATTTGCTAAACCTTGGCCACGATATCTGGACTTGTTTTCATTTAAATCAATGCATAGATTTCTGTTTAAATGATTGTGGTTATGGTTGTACTTTATTAATCCCTAATCTCTGCCATTACATGTACAATGAAACAAGAAATGGTAAAAAAAAGTAAAAACAGAGCAATGTAATACAATAATGCACTATTAGACATTAATGTAAAAAAAAAACGTCCATCCCACGTGTTAGTCAATTTTTAAAAAAATATATATATATTTTAGGCAGGAAATGAGTTTTCAAATGTAGATCTTTTTTCTGGGTTGGGACCCCCAAACACCCTGGAAGATTTGGTCACCCCCAATGATGGCTACGGCCTTGCTTTAGAACCGCACCGCCGATTAGCGCGGTTGGCTGTGTAAGGTGCAAACGAAGTTCATACGTACACCACAGCATCTGTCGGACGCAAGGGGCCCAACTCTCGTGCCGGTTATTAATTTCATTCTCTTGTCTTCAACCGCATCACCGTGGCCACCATTTGAGGAATAAAAAAAACACGCGTTCGAATCTTTTGAAGTTACGCCGCTAAAGTGATTGTTCAATTCTCGTTAAAACGCCACAATGAGTGCTTCGAGGCGCTCATACTGTATATATGCTCGCATTTGCTACTTCAAGTTCGACAGCATATTTGTAAAAAATAAATATATATACAGTATAACCGTGGAGTTTTGAAACTACAGTCATACAAAGATGTGTGCACCACAGTTTGTCATTCTACATAGGGAAAACAACAAATACACTTTATAGCCAAATTAACGCTTTTTTAATACATTTAGTTTTATATGGGATTAGGGGCCGTCCATAAATGACGTCACGCGAATAAAACCAGTCACGAAAGCTTCAAATCTAGAACTATTGTCATTGTAGTGCGTATTTAATGTGCCGCTGCACTCTGATGTTGTAGGAGAAAACATTTATTAGAAAGTCTATTTAATAAAGTAGAACGTGTTGTCTATATTTATTTAAAAGTTGCGCACTTTGATGTGACGTCACATTTCTCAAACACCCCCTCCCCTCCTCGTCACACATCGTCACAAATGTCTGATCCCCCCCTCACCCCCTTACTGCGGATAAGCGAGATTTGACGTTTCAAAGAACGGCATGCGGATATGAACTGAGCGTTGATTTTGACTAAGAGCCTCGTGACTGTCTGAGGTCGCATCCCACAGACCACGAGCACTGAACATCGCAAGCCGGGATCACCATGAGGCCCCTGCCATCATCGATCGCTCTGCTCCTCGTCCTCACGACCCACGCAAGCCGCACAGCGGGTAAGACCCGGGTCGCTTTTTTTACGCAGCGATCCGACACGCGTCAGACAATTATCTGTGCTGGCTCTCTCTCTCTGCTTGGATGTCTGTATATGTGTGTCTGTGATCCGTACTCTATCACTCTCAACCTATAATTTGGCAATCTTTGAAATAACGTAATCAGACAGACCATGCGTTAATTGTGTTTTGACCGACCCTCTGTGCTGCATTATATTGTTTACAAATTTGACGAAATCTTGTTCGATTTGATGTGCTTCTCCATCTCTCTGTGTTTCCTCTCTCTCTTAAATTTAGCTCTTCTATACCTGATGATGATTGCTTGCGTTGCAATCGGAACGTCGTATGTATACTATTATGTAATTTTTATTTTATTATTATTTCTTATTTCTACGTGACCTTACCGAAAAAAAACAAAGAGTAATTCCTGCAGTCACGAAAGCACCGAGTCAAATTCTCTCCTTTGGCTGCCACTGTGCCCGTCAGCCTTGACCACAGGATATCATCTCAGCCCACTTTATTTTTCTTGAAGCGTCGAAATGGTAGTCTCCGATCCACGTGATCCTCTTTCTGTCTCGGGCTTACTAACGCTTAAAAAGTATAAACTATTTTTTTATGTTACCAGGTAAGGCCCCACCGAGCTACGTAGCTATTTTTCAGAAGCGACCTGGCTCAACGAAGTGGCTTATCACCTGGTAATTTAAAGCAGTGGCTAAGTACTCTAAACGCGGAGGACCTGGAGAAAAATCCACGCGACCACGGAGACAGAGAGAGACACGCAAACTCCAAATATACAGCAGCAGGCGTCAGGGTCGGTATCGAACCCACGACCTCCTGCGTACCAGGCGAGGTAGTTAACATCTCATAGCCACCGTGATGATGATGATGATGAAAGAGAGACACGCAAACTCCAAATATACAGTAGGGGTCAGGGTCGGGATCGAACCCACGACCTCCTGCGTACCAGGCGAGGTAGTTAACATCTCATAGCCACCGTGATGATGATGAGAGAGAGAGGCAGGCAAACTCCAAATATACAGCAGGCGTCAGGGTCGGGCTCGAACCCACGGCCTCCTGCGTACCGGGCGAGGTAGTTAACATCTCATAGCCACCGTGATGATGATGAGAGAGAGAGACACGCAAACTCCAAATATACAGCAGGCGTCAGGGTCGGGCTCGAACCCACGACCTCCTGCGTACCAGGCGAGGTAGTTAACATCTCATAGCCACCGTGGCTCGCCCAGGTACGTGCGTCTTTGCAAACTCTGTTGAGTGGTTCTTGCGTTTCCTCCACGAGTGGCCACGTCTCTGATTCACCACACGCCATAGCAGGTGATGCACACCGATATACACATGTGTAGTGTACTCCTCTGCACATGTGCAAACAAAACGCTCCTCTTTTTAGGCACGGTGGTTATGTCAATGAAATGTTATGCGGCAGATAATCGATTTTCCGGCGGCTTTGGAGGCGGGGGCACCCGATATTCAAACACCGAATAGTCACTGCATTATCATTCATTTTTACATCGCTTATTTTTGTACGTTATTTTTTGGCATTGTTTTTAGGTGTTGTTATGTTTTTGTGTGTGTGTGTTTTTTTAAATTGTTATAAAATTGCCATGAATAAACATACAAATCGACACACGTAAATATGCAACTTTAAAAGTTACTGTAATTACTGTAACAATCACGAAGACTCTGCATGGGGTGATGTATATATATACGTGCAGTATTTTCATTGTTTAAGTATGTAGTTTATCATGTACTGTATACAATCTTTAACACTGATCGCCGGACTGGTATGTATCTAGTACGATTGTATTTATGTAGTGTATAATGTAGTGTATAGAACATTTAACACTCAAATCAAGCGTAGCTATATATATTTTGTCACACGCACATAGTGCCAACCGCAGGAGACTGGCTTACAGCCTTTGGAGCGATTTCGCCGGATCAATCCGGGGACCGCCGGACAATGTTGGAAGCAGCCCAGATAATCGTGCGATGCCAGATTATAATCGGTGATGCACTGTATACGTGTCTGTCAATGTATGACCCCTACTTAAATCGGCAATTGAAGTTGTTGGGGTTTTTTTTTTACAAATGTGCAGCGAGCCTCACGACCAGAAAAAATCATTGTCACGGTGGATATTTAAAAAAAATCCATCTAAATATTTTTTTGCAAGTTGATTGATAACGAACTGCATTGGCTAAGGTGTGAATCACGTCCCCTGTCAAGCGTAGTTATCGGCATTTGCGTTACCGGACAACGTAGTGGCCAGGTCACCGCCGTCTGCGTGATCCACGGTGACATCTCTTCGCAAGCATGTGGCTGTAAGTTACTATAAATTAGTCGGTTACTCATTCCATCGGCAAAGTTGAGTTTATCCGAATGCGCATGATTTTCCGTTGTGTAAATTCCGAGATACGGTCGTAAGCGATATGTATGCGTGTATGTATACATGGGTAGTGTTAGTCTATAGGCAGTGTTGAGTCTATGGCATAGACTCTATGGGCAGTGTTGAGTCTATGGGCAGTGTTGAGTCTATGGGTAGTGTTGAGTCTATGGGTAGTGTTGAGTCTATGGGCAGTGTTAGTCTATGGGCAGTGTTGATTCTATGGGTAGTGTTGGGTCTATGGGCAGTGTTGAGTCTATGGGTGGTGTTGAGTCTATTGGCAGTGTTGAGTCTATGGGCAGTTTTAGTCTCTGGGCAGTGTTGAGTTTATGGGCAGTGTTAGTCTATGGGTAGTGTTGGGTCTATGGGCAGTGTTGAGTCTATGAGCAGTGTTAGTCTATGGGCAGTGTTGAGTCTATGGGCAGTGTTGAGTCTGTGGGCAGTGTTGAGTATATGGGCAGTGTTGAGTCTATGGGTAGTATTTAGTCTATGGGCAGTGTTTGTCTATGGGCAGTGTTGAGTCTATGAGCAGTGTTGTCTATGGGCAGTGTTAGTCTATGGGTAGTGTTGAGTCTATGGGTAGTGTTGAGTCTATAGGCAGTGTTAGTCTATGGGTAGTGTTGAGTCTATGGTAGTGTTGAGTCTATGGGCAGTGTTAGTCTATGGGTAGTGTTGAGTCTATGGGTAGTGTTGAGTCTATAGGCAGTGTTAGTCTATGGGTAGTGTTGAGTCTATGGGTAGTGTTGAGTCTATGGGCAGTGTTGAGTCTATGGGTAGTGTTGAGTCTATGGGTAGTGTTGAGTCTATGGGCAGTGTTGAGTCTATGGGCAGTGTTGAGTCTATGGGTAGTGTTGAGTCTATGGGCAGTGTTATTCTATGGGCTGTGTTGAGTCTATGGGTAGTTTTGAGTCTATGGCCAGTGTTGAGTCTATGGGCAGTATTGAGTCTATGGGCAGTGTTGAGTCTATGGGCAATATTGAGTCTATGGGCAGTGTTGAGTCTATGGTCAGTGTTGAGTCTATGGGCGGTGTTGAGTCTATGGTCAGTGTTGAGTCTATGGACAGTGTTGAGTCTATGGGCAGTGTTGAGTCTATGGACAGTGTTGAGTCTATGGGCAGTGTTGAGTCTATGGTCAGTGTTGAGTCTATGGGCAGTGTTGAGTCTATGGGCAGTGTCGAGTCTATGGGCAGTGTCGAGTCTATGGGCAGTGTTGTCTATGGGCAGTGTTAGTCGATGGGTAGTGTTGAGTCTATGGGCAGTGTTAGTCTATGGGCAGTGTTGAGTCTATGGGCAGTGTTAGTCTATGGGCAGTGTTGAGCCTATGGGCAGTGTTGAGTCTATGGGCAGTGTTTGTCTATGGGCAGTGTTGAGTCTATGGGTAGTGTTGAGTCTATGGGCAGTGTTTGTCTATGGGCAGTGTTAGTCTATGGGCAGTGTTGAGTCTATGGGCAGTGTTAGTCTATGGGCAGTGTTGAGTCTATGGGCAGTGTTAGTCTATGGGCAGTGTTGAGCCTATGGGCAGTGTTGAGTCTATGGGCAGTGTTGAGTCTATGGGTAGTGTTGAGTCTATGGGCAGTGTTTGTCTATGGGCAGTGTTGAGTCTATGGGTAGTGTTGAGTCTATGGGCAGTGTTTGTCTATGGGCAGTGTTAGTCTATGGGCAGTGTTGAGTTTATGGGCAGTGTTAGTCTATGGGCAGTGTTGAGTCTATGGGTAGTGTTGAGTCTATGGGTAGTGTTGAGTCTATGGGCAGTGTTAGTCTATGGGCAGTGTTGAGTCTATGGGCAGTGTTAGTCTATGGGCAGTGTTGAGTCTATGGGCAGTGTTGAGTCTGTGGGCAGTGTTGAGTATATGGGCAGTGTTGAGTCTATGGGTAGTATTGAGTCTATGGGCAGTGTTTGTCTATGGGCAGTGTTGAGTCTATGAGCAGTGTTGTCTATGGGCAGTGTTAGTCTATGGGTAGTGTTGAGTCTATGGGTAGTGTTGAGTCTATAGGCAGTGTTAGTCTATGGGTAGTGTTGAGTCTATGGGTAGTGTTGAGTCTATGGGCAGTGTTAGTCTATGGGTAGTGTTGAGTCTATGGGTAGTGTTGAGTCTATAGGCAGTGTTAGTCTATGGGTAGTGTTGAGTCTATGGGTAGTGTTGAGTCTATGGGCAGTGTTGAGTCTATGGGTAGTGTTGAGTCTATGGGTAGTGTTGAGTCTATGGGCAGTGTTGAGTCTATGGGCAGTGTTGAGTCTATGGGTAGTGTTGAGTCTATGGGCAGTGTTATTCTATGGGCTGTGTTGAGTCTATGGGTAGTTTTGAGTCTATGGCCAGTGTTGAGTCTATGGGCAGTATTGAGTCTATGGGCAGTGTTGAGTCTATGGGCAATATTGAGTCTATGGGCAGTGTTGAGTCTATGGTCAGTGTTGAGTCTATGGGCGGTGTTGAGTCTATGGTCAGTGTTGAGTCTATGGACAGTGTTGAGTCTATGGGCAGTGTTGAGTCTATGGTCAGTGTTGAGTCTATGGGCAGTGTTGAGTCTATGGGCAGTGTCGAGTCTATGGGCAGTGTTGTCTATGGGCAGTGTTAGTCGATGGGTAGTGTTGAGTCTATGGGCAGTGTT